AGCTACTCTGAAAAGGACTAATCAATCCGTCCGTAAAGGGCCATAAGCGAAGAGCCAAAACCTTCATAATCACCTTATATAAGACATTACAAAGAGTGATCAACCTGAACTGAGAGATAAATTTCGGAGTAGCAACCTTAGGAATGAGAACAATAAAACCTTTGGACAATGGGGATCCATCACACCAGTAGAAAATGTATGATTAACAAAGGAGACCACCTCATTACCTATAATATCCCAATACTTCTTAAAAAATAAAGGTTGGAACCCATCAAGCCCCAGAGCTTTAAAAGAACCCATACTAGAGACCGTCACCCAAACCTCATCCCTAGAAACTGACCTTATCATATCCGCCACAACATCTGCTGATAAATGAGGAAAAACAATACCAGAGAACACAGATGGAGAAAATTGAGAATCAGCAGAAAACAAATAAGCATAATAATCACAGGCTAAACCCTTCAGAGTAGGAGGATCTGAAATCCAATCACCAGCATCATTTTTAAAACATTCGATCTTATGTTGTTTTCGACGAACCCGAGTAATAACATGATAATATTTAGTGCGCTGATCACCATCCCAAAGCCAAGAACTGCGAGATTTCTGAAATCAGAAAACCTCCTCCCGCTGCAAAATCAAATTATACTGAGATAGCAAATCCTTCTCTAAATTAAGAAAGAAGGTAGAGACCCGACGCTGCAAAGCTGCCTGAACCCTTTTAATACGACAAAGAACTACCCGCTTATTACAATGGATATTACCAAACACTTTCTGATTCCAACTACAAGCTTACTCCTGAACATTAGAAAGAGCACCAGATATAGAAGAATGTGGCTGAGCCCAAGCCGACTCTAACATTACTGAAAAATCTTCCCTCGTAGCCCAACCAGCTTCAAATCGAAAAGGTTTAAACACAGGGACAAGAGAAAAACCTTTAGTAGCCAACAACAAAGGAAAATGATCAAAAGCAAAATAAGGCAAAAACATAACAGACGCCTCGGGAAAAGCAGACGTCCAATCTGAATTACATAAAGCCCTATTTACATGCTCCTGAATGACCCCAACATCAACAATAGAATGAGTCCATATAAACTGACACCCTAAGAAACCCGAATCCATCAAGGAACAATGGTCTCAGTTATCCATAAAGCGTCTACAATTTACAATAAAAGCAATAGCACCACCCTTCTTCTCCACAGGTCTAGCAATATCATTAAAATCACCAAAAAGCAACCAAGGTGCAACCATTTGACCAGCAATATCAAACATCCGAGACCAAAACAATCCTTCTGAGAATGGACATGACTAGTATAAACAGCAGTTAAAAACCAAATAGCATAACCAGGCACAAATACAGAACAATGCACAAATTGAGAATTAACTGCAACTCCTGAATACTACAAGAATAATTTTGCCATAAAATCCACACACCACCAGCAAAACCAATAGGGTGAGAAAGAATAAAATTTGAAAATCCAAGCTTATGGGCTACAGAAACAACACGAGCATCAAAGATACGAGACTCCACTAATCAAAATATCATGTTTGTGCAATTTATGAAACTCCTTAACTGGAATTCTAAAGCCCCTCTTAGTTGCACCACCATAATTCCACATAATAACTTTTAAATCCATAAAAAGTGAATTAAAAAAAGAACACAAGAAAAGCACCTTCCAACAAGACTGCCGAGAGCTACGACTGCAACTACTAGAGCCACGGCCGGACAACACAGTACCTCTAGCCACAACACCACTAGAAAATCGCTCTTCTTATTATCACTAGAAGAAGAACCTAATGCCACATAGTCAACACCAACCCCACCAATGCCAACAAACTGCACCTGCAAAATCGAAGAAAACCAAGCAACGACTATTGGGTCAGGATCTTTCAACTTGTCAACATTCGCAGGACCCAACTATACCCATCCTTAACCATATTCAAACCCGCACCCACATAAGTAGGCACAGTGGACTTTGCCAAGTCAAGATCCAAAGTAACATCATATGAAGCCTAGAGGACCCCATCCGCAATAGACCTATGTCTAATAACATCACCTGCCTGATCCCCCTTGTCCGCTGGCAACTGAGACCATTAACTAGCTCCACCAACATGCCCGAAGGGCCGCTAGGCGAACAAGTCGCATATCGGCCCACACCATGAACAGGCCCTATTAAAGGAACAATATCTTGCTAACGCATTAAAAGCCCATCTTCTAGAACAAACAGGCCCAAACCCAAACCTTAACTTAGATCCACAATAACATCCTTCCTCTTATTAACACCCCCTAGTCCGATGCTTCACCGTTGTAGGCCCATTAGAGCCCAAATGACCCATAGCAGATTTCACCACGTGACTCTCCTTAGCCAAGGAAGGAAAGCGATTGGCTCTCACCCCAACCGAACGAGACGAAGGCTTATCCACACTTAAATTCACCACGTGACTCTCCTTAGCCAAGGAAGGAAAGCGATTGGCTCTCACCCCAACCGAACGAGACGAAGGCTTATCCACACTTAAATCTTTATTTTTAAATTTGCGTCTTGGCTTGCACTGAGCCACCATCTAAGGACCGAAATTCTCAATATTCGCATTTGAATTCAAAACAAATTCACTTATAGCCATGTCCGGAGGATAAGAAGACTCCTTAACAACCTCAACTTCCAATCAAGTGGACTCCGAGCAAACTTCCGGCCAATAACCGACCCTACCACAGGAGGAACACAGGCCTATAATGCCTTCATACTCAACCCTCCTCCAAGCACCACCAACAAAAACTCGTGGAATCAAAGGACAAGATAAATCTAATTCAACAAACACTCTAGCAAATCTGCCACGTGTAGCTAGAGCCATTTGCCTGTCAATCTTAATCAGGGTCCCTATCACACTAGCAGCAGCAAAAAGAACTTCACCGTAATAAAAGTCCATAGGGAATTCAATCAACCTCACCCATATCACCATGGAAAAAATAGATGTTGTCAAACGCTGAAATCTAGGTTTCTACTTTTGAATATAAAGAGGTTGACCGCCAACCAAATAAGGACCTTTAGAAATAATACATAACATATCATCTTTATCTTCAAACTTAGTTAAATAAAAACCATAACCTAAGTCAATCACATCCAAACCTACACCTGGCTTCCATAATAAATTCAAGCGATTAACTAAATAGGTATAGCTAATCGATTTACCATAGACCGTCACTATCAAGGAATCAATCCATTGCTCACTAAGTTCTTGAATCACCTCCGAATCAACCATAACTTTTGGCTTGAAAGGGTCCACATTTTCATATTCCAAATGAATCCTACCAACATACGTATCTCCTAACTGAAAACCAAAACTTTTCAAAATAGAAAGCTGCTTCAATGCCCGAGAAGATTGAAAAAGAAGACAATCACGAAAGAAAGAGGCGCGACACCTGGTGGTTACCCCACGAGGACAAACACGTCAACTGGCAAAGGAGAGGGAACCAATTACTGAAAACCAAAAGTTTTCAGAATAGAAGGCTGCTTCAATGCCCGAGAAAAGGCTGCTTCAATGCCCGAGAAGACTGAGAAAGAAGACAATCATGAAAAGAAAGGGGTGCGACACCTGGTGGTTGCCCCACTCGAGACAGACACATCAACTGGCAAAGGAGAGGGAACCAGTTGAGAGGATTCCATCTCTTCTCTTAAGATTTTTAGAGAATGAATTATTTATTGAATTTTATGTAACACCCAACTCGAATGGAAATTTTAGTTAAATACCGTCATTTTAGAGGAGGAAAATAAAATAATGATTAATAGAAAGGGGATTAGATATGGGAGTAAAGTGAAGTTCACAGTTCAACCTGGATACTTGACTTGATTATGGTGGGTTTGGGTAGTGATTTTAGTACCCGCATCAGATTCGAGTTCATGTTAAAACTTTATGTTGATCAAAAGCATTGAACCCAAGATCTTTGTGTATCAATTAAGTTAATTTACTACCAAACTACTTAACATTCTTATTTAACAAAATACGCAAAAGATATATAGACTAACAACTATAGTAATTTATACTTTAATGAATAAAATATTATTAAATAGCAATATAATCTTATCCATAAGTAAATTACATACATTAAATTATAATATCTTAATAAATTGAATTTAATGTTTTTTTCATAAAATATATCAAACAAAATTATATATATATATTATTCATGTCAAATATTAGTAATTTAATTAAATTTTTTATAGTTTAAAATTAATAATATATAATATTCATGTCCAAATATTAGTAATATTAATTAAAATTTTTTTTTGATTTTTATGGTAATATGAAATTTATTAAAAAAAATTATTAAATTTGATAAAATGCTAATAATATTCATTAATTACCAAATTTTTTAAAGCCTAGTTTATCCTTACATCACTAATACATTCCTCTACATGATAATTCATAATTAGATTTTAATTTACAAATATGACTCATGTTTAAATATAATATAATCCTAGATATACTTTACGAAAATATCATAAATATACTCGTATAATCACATCACCATAAATTATTAAAAATTAATTATAATTAGGATCTTAATTAAATGTCTTTTTATTTTTTTATCCCAGTATCTATCAATTACTTAGATTAAGCATAACTATTACTTTATAGTGTGAGTGTGTAGTGAGAGTGAGAGGAATTAAAACCAATCATTAAGTGGTTAATTATACCCTATTAACGTATTTTAATAAAAAATACTTAATTTAATACTTTTATAATAATTTTGCTTTTTACACTTAACTATATATTGAATTAAAAAATAAATTTAAATTAATAATATAATATATTAAAACTGCCTCTGAAAACATATAAGGAATAATCTATTATATACTTTTAATGCAATCACGACCTAATCCTATTTGTAGTTTATATACCTCAGGGTGATCCATCAACTCATCCTTACAAATAATAATAATAATAATAATAACTTGAAAAATAGTAAGAATAATAATAATAACTTTAAATGAATCCACGACCAAAACCATGTAGTTTTAGCCTAGGGTTGCATTTTAATCATACTAACAGAAATTCTCTCAAACTCAACTCAACTCAACTCAAACGTATTTCTCCTCCGTCCCTGCCCTGCGCCGCTCGTCTTCTGCACTTCTACAGCCACAGTCTTTCTTTATACCTTCCCGTTGCTTTCGTTCTTGGCCATCATCGCCGCAGCAGTTGTGCTCTTCAAGCGTACAAGCGCTCCTCAGCCATAGGTTCGTTCTTGATTTTTTTTATTCCATTCTCAGTTTGTTTATTTTTTCGTTTTGCTTCGTGAATCGTCCTTTTTCCCTTTTTTTTTTATAAACATATATAAACAGACAAAGAGGAGGAATTGTTTAATTAATTTATGGGTTCAGCCGAGATTATTTGCATATTGTTTTATTTTTTTTGATTTATGGTTTTTGTGCATGTTTTATTTGTTGAAAATATATATATTAAGTGAAATCTGATATGTTTGGTTTGTTAATTCAAAGTTTGCTTTGTTAATAATGATTGAGATTGTCTAGAGATCCTGAGAATGATTAAAAGGAATCTGCTTTTGTACAAAATGTGAAAAAATTCAGATGTTAACAGGTTTAATTTGTTCTTGTTTTTATTTTTTTACCATGAGATATTTATACAAATGTATCTAGAAATAAGCTTTTAAAAGCAATAACACAAATCACATAGGGGATTAAACACAGGGTTTAATGTTTTCTATTTTGTATAGGGCTGAATTTTTCTTTTTGAGCAGTATATAGGACTGACTTGGATAGCTTAAACATATAAGTGTTATGGTCATATTGCTAGACATTGAATCTGCTAGTTTAATTTGCAAACTTGTTTATTATTCCTAAACTTGATTGTGGCTCGTTTAATTTGCTGTGGGTAGTTTTAAATTAGCTAAGCCTAACTAACTAGTTGATTTGATATTCTAAATTGCCTTTTCTTTTAGTTTTAAATTAAATTGTTCTTGGTTTTCTTTTTCTATTTAAATATTTTATATATTTTAAATATATTTTATCTAAACATTGATTTTATTTTGTAGGATATAATGTCAACATTTGAAGGTATAGATTGTGAAGATAGTAGCAAAAATGAGACAAATATGTTGGGCAGTATGCGGGTATTTCTAAACGGATTTGGGACGGATTTGGGTATTATTGGTTTATTCCTTAAACAGAAATCCCAGAGAATCCTGATAGTAGCAAAAATGAGACAAATATGTTGGGCAGTATGCGGGTATTTCTAAACGGATTTGGGACGGATTTGGGTATTATTGGTTTATTCCTTAACAGATCCGAGAACTTAAATTATTAACGGATTCGGGTAGTTTGTTTTTTGCGGGTACCCGCCCCGCTGCCAACCCTACTACTATCAATCATTTCTTTTGTTTTATCATTATTTTTAAAATAATATCAATCCCTCAATCTTGCAGTTCAAAACCCTAACTAATACACAAATCCAAAAGACACCTGCCTGAATCCTACATTTTGGAAGAGACTCTTCTTAATCATACCCAATCACTTCAAGGTATTTTCTTGATCTCTCTACTTTATTATTATTATTATTATTATTATTATTGTTACTATCATAAGTCAAGAGTATAAAAATCTGTATCTTGCAAATATATTATCTTTCATTGATTTTACATAGAATTTTGTTGACAATGTTTGATGGGCTTTGTTGTTGTATACTCACGTTTGCTGTTTCCAAGTAATAATTATTCAATTTTTAATTGGATTTGTTCATTTTTTATATTGAAAGAATAGTAGGCATAACGCTTCATTTATCTCAGGTAATTTTTTGTTCGGTTTGAACTAATTTATCAATAAAAATGGAATGGCATCTCAGGTTCTAAGGCTTTTGCTGGTGATGACAGTTAAATTTTAACAAGAGAGTGTTTTTCTGCTATATGTGTTCTTCATGAATAGCTGATTTGGGGAGTGCCCCTGTTTTACTTGCCCACTTTGCACTGATTAAGAATGACCAGATAGTAGATTCAAACTTTGGTAATGGAAGAATAGAGAAGTTTCATGAGTGCTTTAGTGCTGTCAATCTCCCAGACTGCCTATATATTTATTGGGCTAGTTAGACTGAATTTTAAATATCTACAAATTTAGGTATATCTTGCACATTTGTGTTAAGAAAATGTTAACAAAAAATTTAACGTTTTCTACAGTGGATTGTGAAAGTTAGATTCTTGAATATTTTATTGATCTCCACTCTCCAGTTCTCAACCCGGTGTCAATTGCGTACTTGTGTTGATTGTTAGGTTACTTGATGATTATTAAGGTTATTTTATACTCTTGATAGTGAGTTCTTCTGTTGCTCTCCTTGTATTCATATAATCGTATTAGCTAAAAAGATTTAGAATACCTTTGCAAGTAAACAAATAATAGTTGTTAGCATGATACTGACAACAAAAAGAAGCATGCCTTTAAATATTACCAATAAGTACTTCAAAACAAATGAATTTATGTTTCTTGTTCGTGAAATTAAAGCATGAGATAGCTTTATGAGAATTGCTTACCACCCTTGCTTTAATGGGTTGCATTGGTTATTATTTCAGGATGAGTCGCTGTTTTCAGCATACCTTTTATAGTTGATGGTTTATATCATTCAATTATGTTCTCTTCCACATTATTATCTTACTTCAAGCACACATTTGCATTGCAAATGCAAGATGATGATCTTGACAAAATCTACAAACATGATAAAGATCCAACTAGAAAGTATTCCAAATATGTTTCTCCAAGTATATGACATTTTCTGGATCTTTGATTGCACCGGTTCATTTTTTAGCACTTGACATCCTCGAAATTGAGTCTCATTCAGTGATTGCCCACTAAAAACAAGGTTCTGGTGGTGGCTTGAAATGCCAAGAGCATTTGTTAAAATCAGCTTAACTGTTTGACACCCCTATGATTTTCACCTTTTACTTTCTCACTTGCATTTTTGGGTTCACAACCAAAGGACTGATCAGAAACACAGCATTTGCATATTTTTATGTGTCCTCCTTTATAGTGACAAGTTTCTGAGATAATTTTGACCTTCATTATAGTACTTAAAAACTATTATTTCAAGCAAAAGATTCTTTTATCGGGGAGTAGTTTATGGGCATGCTGATTTACTTTGAGCAATGTGATACTCTTTTTGCTGCTAGGCATGGGAACCAGAGGAGTTATTGGGGATAAATGGTCCATGAGGATTCTTTGGGCCTGTGCTATTGGAAGTGCAATCAGTATGTATTTAGATCTTATTATCAGCTTGTTTAATTTTAAGTTTTTCATTGCCTTAAATAGGTGATGCCCTATTGGAATGGTCACATCACAAGCCTCTTTAGTTTTCTCTTCTCTCTCTCTTTTTTTTTTTTTTTGTTGCCTATAAAATATACAGGGATTGCCCTATTGAATGGTCACATCCACAAGGCCTCTTTAGTTATTCCTCTTCTCTCTCTTTTCTTTTTTTTTTTTGGCCCATCCTTGTGTAATTTTTTTTTTTTTTTTTTTTTGGCCATCCTTGTGATATTTTTGTTTATTGCTTGTTTAGGCTTATATATGGTTGCTGTAGAAAGACAAGCACAAAATAGAGAACGAGCGATGGCTGAAAGTTTAAATGCTATGGAAGCAGAATCAGGCAGTGGGGAGACTGTTTAAATTCAGGATTCTCTAAATGTCATAAGCTTTTTGTAAGCTCATTTCATTCCAAAATGGGCAGCTTTATGCAAAAGGTTACCTCTTTGTTTTCGGCATTTGATGTTTTGAGGATTTAGCTCTAATAATAACTTTATCTACTTTCAGAATCTCAGATGAATGATATGATTCAGAGGTTTTAGTGAATAAGGGAATATAAGATGGGGTGGCCTTTTGATTTTGATATACATATGTATCGATGTATATCTCTTGTAGGTGGTCTCTCCTTTGTCAATTGATAATGCTCGTCCTGGAATATTTATAGGAATGCAATGCCTGATAAAAAGTTAAAACTTTCTTTATTTTATTATTTATATTCCTCTTAAGTAGCAATTTAGAATTTAAATACTTCACTCACATGGGCCTTGTTAACCTATAAAATAGGTCATTAGGTCTAATGAAACACAACAATTTATCCATACAAGTACAAGAAACATCCTATTATAAGAAATTGTCATTTATTCTTGGAGTTTGGGTATCAACAAAAGAAACAATTTGTTCATGTTAAAATAATGTTCAAAGAAATTATATGCATGTATAGTAAATATATTTTTGTTTCATGTGATTTTCTTTTTCTTTTTTAAATTTATAATTGCTTTTCAGTCTGAATAAGATCGACCAAATCTTTACTTTTGATGGATACTTAGATAGTTCCATATCAATTAAAATGTGATTATTCTATTTTCATCAATGAAGTTTTAACATGAGACTACCATACTTTTTTTTCTTTCAAGAGAAGATAAGACATAAGAGAGAAGCTAGCATATGTCTTACATGCTTCCTTCAAACTGTTATTAGCTTAAGAAAACGCTGTATTGTAATATTAATACTTCTTAGGACTTCTCATGCACAGTGTTGGCTAGGTTTCATGTTTGATTGTAATTGGTAATTGTCTGAAAGTATGTACAGGTTGCTTGGAAGTAAGGGTTGAGTAATGGGCTTTGAACACAATCACAGCACGACAGTTCATATTCACACAAATTATGGCTCCGGCTTTCAAGATCAAACCAACACAGACGTTTGTCTTTCTTCTTGCTTTCTCAAATGTTTCTCTATATATATGGCCATGCAAAAAAGCAAATAAACACAATACTTAACGAAAATGGTTCCACTAAAATGTGGCTCTATCTGTTTCTTGGTCTTACTGGGTTTAAGCTTTGGTTTTGCTCATGAGGTTCTTTTGGATTCCTCTTCTCGTGTCCAAGGACACGAAAATATGCACCATGGTAAAGGTATTGGTTTAAATGGGGGATTTGGTGGAGGAAAGGGCTTTGGTGGTGGAGGTGGAGGTGGAGGTGGAGGTGGTGGTGGTGGAGGTAATGACCCACCTAGTCCAGGCTATGGTGGAGGTTGGGGAGGAGGTGGAGGTTGGGGTGGAGGTGGTTTTGTCCCATGGATGCCTCCTCCAGCCAGTGGATGGGGAGGAGGAGGTGGTGGAGGAAATAGTGGTAATGTCCCAGGAGGATCTGGTCCAGGTAATGGAGGGGGAGGGGGCATAGGTGGAGGCGGAGGTGGTTATAATGCCCCAGGAGGATCTGGTCCAGGTAATGGAGGTAGGCGGAGTTTTTCGTACCCTGATTGCCTCCTCCAGCCAGTGGATGGGTTAGAAAGAGGATTATGTGCTGTTGACGTGAAATAGTTTTCTTGTAACCCAGAAGATCTAGGTCCAGTAATGCAGGGGAAACGGGGTAGGAGCGATTTGGTAATATTAAATGCCCCAGGGAGGATCTGTCAGTAATTGCAGGGAAGCTGGATTAGGTGCGAGGCGTGATGTTTTATAAATGCCCCAGATTGATTTCTCACAATTTATAGTGGGGGTGCGAGGACGTATGCGGAGTGGAAGTGGTTTCTCATTTATCAGATGTCCTCCATTAAAATCGGCGGGGCTGTAATTGATCCCCCCACGAATGTTCTGCGATTAGCCACGATATATCATAAGAAATGATGAAACCTACAAATGAAAGCGGCAAAAAAGCTCATTGAAGACTGGTTCAAAGGGAAGAGCTCCATGTATAAGTCGAATACTTGTATTTATTGAGCATAATAATTTGGAAATTTATGGAAGAAGCTACAGAAGCAAAGTTCAATAAAAAATAGACTCTAATTTACTTTTAACAGATTTTTCATATAAATTCTACCTTTTCAAACCCAGGAGGATCTGGTCCAGGTAATGGAGGGGGAGGGGGCATAGGTGGAGGCGGAGGTGGTTATAATGCCCCAGGAGGATCTGGTCCAGGTAATGGAGGGGGAGGCGGCATAGGTGGAGGCGGAGGTGGTTATAATGCCCCAGGAGGATCTGCTCCAATTTATGGTGGGGGAGGTGGAGGAGGTGGCGGAGGTGGAAGTGGTTACTATTATCCAGGATGTCCTCCATACTTCGGGGGCTGTAATTGCCCCCCACAATGTCTGCCGAGTTGGCCATCTGTATATCATAAGAAAATGATGAAACCTACAAATGAAGCGGCAAAAAGCTCATTGAAGACTGGTCTCAAAGGAAGAGCTCCATGATTAAGCTCAATACTGTAATTTATTGAGCATAATAATTTGGAAATTAGAATGCAGCTTCAGAAGAAGTTCAATAAAAAGCTCAATTATTTTACAATGTTTCATATCAAAATTCTCTTACCTTTCAAATATAAAAGGAAGAAGAAAAACAGAAACAAAAAGGCATTTCCCAAAAATAATCTAATCTTCTAAAATAGCTAAAACAGCCCAATAAACAGAAACGATGAAGAGGGGAAAACAACATTCACGTGAAATTTGTCGAGGGTTAGCATTGCATTACTTTCAGCATATAAGCTATTTCATAGTAGTTTGGTTCTTGTTTCCATTGGATAAATGGCCGAGTTACACTTTATCATTGAAGACCACTAAAAAATTACATGACAGTAGTTCTATAAAAATCCAGCAAATATAAACATTTATGAATTTGTATGATTTCTAAACCCAAGTTACATTGTAATACTGCAAATATTCCATTGTAATAAAGCTGGTGTATTGACACCCTAGTAGGTTACTTGCGCTACAACTTCGATCCTGGAAGTATCTTATGAACATTGATTATATTATGTATAAGCAAAAGAACCGGCGAAGGAAAGGAATAATGCACCTTGCTTGAGCTGACAAACTAATACTAGCACTCTGTTTTTCTGTTTTTTTTTTTTTCACTCATTTCTTATAAAATTCCTATAAGACCTAACTCCATCGCTGGAAGTCTTCTCGAGTATCATCATTTTATAAGCTGCTTCATTCTTTTCTAGTTGGCATAGAAGAAGATCTAGGAACGCTTTCCTTGAAAGAATTTGAGGTCTTATTTAAAGAAACAGAAGTTGAGGGTCGAAGGAGAGGAGTACCGGCCCTACTTGAATATTCATTAGCATATGGAGCAGGACTACTTGAGGTAATAGTAGCTGGCTGTATCTCGATTTCATTGTGATTACTGGCATTCGTGGGAATATCAAGAAATTGGTGCTCATCTTCTTCGAGTGACAATACTGTACTCGTGTCGGTATGTATTGTAGCATCATCAGCCAAACCCCCATGCCTTCTCTTCCTTCTAGCTTGCTTTCCCCATCCATGGATTGTCTCCCTTATCCTATGTGGGATCAGTGCCGCTTTATAGTTTGTTCCCATCTGGAAACCAAAGGAAAGGAAATCACATTTGATTACGGTACAAAATCAAGCACGATAAATATGTGAAATGCAACAGCTTTCACCCATAACAATCTGTTTACGCCATGCTTGCAGCCACTTATGCAGAAAAGGCAGGACACCAACAGTCACCTACGAAGCAGGTAATCATGCTGTAATAACCTGAATACCTCTCAAATTTGGAGGTGATTTAGGGAACTCAAACTTGCAGCTTACTCTCATATTTTCTAATTACAAAGTTTGTTGAACAACATTGCAAGTCATACATTAATACGACATTGCCCGAGAAAGTCCCTATCTAAAAGACGCAGCTAAATGTCATCCACCATCCAACCATAAGAACAAATGGACCCCTATCAAAAGGCACACACTTCTGCCAGGTCTTCTAGTAAGAAGTGGCTGTAAAGGAAATGAAATTTGCCAGTTTCACATTTTTCAAATGAAATTACAGAATAAAAATATGAATGCAGAAGTGAATAGGAAGACACGGAATAATCTAAACGTTCAGAAATAGCCTCTCATGTAATTTTGCATATCTACAAATAATGGTTTATTGGTTTATATGATTTTCCAGATTAGAATTAGCTCAGTCAGAGAGTCATCAATATCCCAACAAAAAAGTTAAGAGAGCAGAGACTTGGAGTTCAAGACTTGCAGTCATTAATCCATTATCCATCGAAATCATCAAATTAAAAAAGATTATGCTTGAAAAAAATTTTTCCATCAACTTTGTTGTGCTGTATCTATCAACTAAACAGTCATTACTTCATGGAACAAGCATCAGAGTACTTCCACAAATCCAAGTGTGATACACCAATGCATTTTGTCATGGGCTGATAGTTACGTCCCTACAAGCTCCATGGTATGATCCTATAACCTTCTATAGCTAATAATGACATATCTATGCAGGTGCATGTACGCATATAATCTATCAAAGTGTTCTGTTAACTTATGGACAAGTTTGCCATCCCTAGAGTAAGGCTGGCCAGGGCCCCTGGCTGAGGAGCTTCTTAGTACAGTGGAACATGAGATCCCATCCTATGACAATCTACATTGAAAATCTTAATACAATTTTGGGCTAAACATTTCCTAGAAAGCTGTGTCACAGGGATTTTGGATAAACATTGCTGAAGACCTGCAACTACAAGGTGCAATATTTTGTGGGCAAAATTCCACAACTCGATTGTTTACGATGGTGTTTTCCATATATGTCTTGAAAAATATGTTCCTCAAGAAATGATTTTTGTTGAAAATGTACCTGAGTAACAAGGGCATAAAGTGGCAAGGTGCTGTAGCTGCAGAGGAATTGTCCAGCAAACCTACAATAAAAGAAAACAAGTGGTATAGCTGTTCACACCTCTAAGAAAATCACAAGGAGCTGAAATCTAAGCATACCCCAAGATAAGCCGTATGTACACCAGTAAATGGTTTCTAATAAAGCAGGAATTATACCCAAATTGCCACTGTATATAAACCAACAAAAGAAAAAAAAAAAAAAAGTTAAGAGCAACTAGATCAAGCTTCCTGAAAATAAAGACAGAAAAAAGAATATTATAGTTCTTTTCCTCGTAGTCTGAGATCAGCTTTTCAAGTGCCCACAATCCTCATATTCAGTTTGTTATATTGAAGCAACAATACCAATGAGAATGGGAGCTATTGTTAAGAAATTGATTTCCAAGTAAATTTAAGTGTGGTAATTGAAATTATAGGAACAGTCATCTCCAGCAATTAATTGAATACCAATCCAATAATGGAAGAGGAGGTACCCAGAACCAAAAGAATGAAGCCAACTCAAACGCATTCTGCAACAAAATTCAGATAAATGGAAAAACATGCGTCAGTCCTGCTGCTCTGGGACAAGGTCTTATATAATCTTTTAGCGGAAAAAAGAAAAGAATAGACGAAATAAGTTACAATGCTTGAAGCAACTTATCACTATGGCACTACTAACCTGGAACAGAATAAAATGGATTAAGGACAGCAATAGTTCTGGCTTCTTGAACCAGAAAAGATCATCTCGAGGCTTTAACTTTGTTCCTGCAAAGTATCCAGTTATGCCTGCATTCTCCAACACTAAGGTTGCAATAACATGCTGTAGTTTTGCACCAACCAAGAGGACAAGCTGCCCATGAAGTCATGAACTGAAATATCAGAAAATGAAATTTGAAAGCACATCGGACTTCTACTACAATATTTTTATGTATGGTTATGTAGAATTCACTCTCCATAAGCTCCGTTAACTTTATGGATAAAATCAATCGTCTTTTCAAGTGTCTAATCATTAATGCATATTTGCTCTTAGAGACCGCAATCAGGACTAGCCAGATGTAAGAGTTTGGCAATTTTCAGGTTCAGATGTTCTCAAGAATCATCTTTTCAAATTATTGTGGGTATAGGTTGCTACAGTTTTTGGACGGGTTTGGGCCATCCTAAAGGTAGATCTTTAGGAATTCGTTTTAAGTTATTTGGACCATTGTAGTAAACTTTTCTTTTCCTTTTGCAATTTTTCTAAAAACAAATTATTTAAGTCATACGGCTTCCTTCAGTTCAGAACAAAAACTTTCAAGTGATTTTGGTTTCTAGTACAGCTTCAGGCTGTTTTGATGAGTTTGAAGTTAAAAACATTTTCACCACTACTTGTGCTACTGCCTAAAGATGCTGTTTTCCTGCACATAGAAAATGTCGTTTTCCATCACATTGGGGCTTGGTAAAACTGAAACTGAAAAGTAAGAATACTTACGGTGATAGGAATGATGGCTATCCAGAAGTAGAGATTAGATCCTTTAGTAGAAGAAAAAACAAAGAAACACAAATTTAATGAGTTTGAAACTCAGAATAGAATTGATCATACAACATTCAAGACAATAAAGCTTTCATTATTGAAGCAGATAATAGTCATTATGAGATGAAGGTAAAAAGGCAGAAGTAAATCCATCATTGCACACAGGTGCAATGTTCCCAACATTTGCCTTAGCAAGTGCAAATTCATTTTAATGCCATACCTTTTATATTAAACAGCATAAAAGCAACAACAAATCCCCACAATGGGCCACTGCAAGACAATAAATAAACAGGTATCTTAGCTTGGCTTATTATATGCGGCACTCAATCGTGCAAAACCAACCCAAGAATTTTATTTTTGACTTCCACAAAAGTTAGCATTTAATCCAACACAACAAACTCTCAAATAAACTTCTTTTACCTCACACCAACTATCCTTTGGAATTCTTCTTCCATGGAGCGAATCATATAGCTATGAAAATCATATTTCAATGGAAGGTTGTGATTCTGCCAAGATTAGGAAAACAAAAGGATTACATGTTAAAAACAAAAGGATGAAGAAAACAAAAGGAGTAAATTAGCAAAGACATTCAGATGGTAACAATCCCAATATATACTTTGCTTAAAGTCCCAGCAGTCCAATACTAATTCTTAACATTTATTTTACTCATAAGAATCAATGACAAGGCCATGTGCATCAGGGGTCATGTTTTACTGATAATATGCAACCTGTATCAGGTTCATTTTAGCACATGCCAGTACTCCTTTTAATGGCACCTCTGCACTCTTATTCTTCATCTCCTTTTTTGTTTTTGTTTTTTGTGTTTGGTAGTGTGAAGGTGGTCGGATTGTGACATAAAGATGAGTTTGACTTTGCCTAAAACAGTTAATTTTTCTCATCTTATTCAAAGTCCCTGGCTCCACAGTCCGACAAAGCCGTTGAATTCCTAGCTAGAATTGGGAACCATAAACCATATTCCAAGAAGGTTGTGCAGCCTTTGCTTTTTCAATTGGATCAAAGCATAAGCAGTAAGTTAAAAAATATAACTAAACCTCAACATGTCTTTTGCTTTACTAAACCTTGTATGGGACAATCAAGCGCGAGTAGTACTTTATTCCTGCTGCTCCATAGAAGTTTTTAAATAATGTTACTCCACACAAATATTTAGCTATATGTACTGGTGTCTTCATAACTTATCCTATTATGAAGCAGCAAGATTTATATGTAAATACAGAGGGCAGATTTTTTAGCTTTGCAAAAGATGGAGACAAATGATAAATGAGAAAAAAAGGAGCAGAGAGAAGTGAAAAGCAATAATCTTTCAAGGTACCTGTCCATAAATATTAAAAACATATTTTAAAAAGAAAAACACATATCACTTAATTGCCGACAGATGGGACTACATCATACCGTGATAAAGCCCTTGCGGAGAATTAAGTAGTCCATGCGTACCACTGAACGCCCAAATTGCCGAAAGAAACAAGTCTGCATGTCAATAGAACCAGAAACATAGTTAAATTAAATGTATAACAAGTCTGCAGGTTCATTTATTCTTTTAAAATTAGTTTTAATTAAATGTATAAAATTATTTTTTATTGCACTGGAAGTGCTAGCAAGGAGAGAGACATGATAAAACTCTCCCCAGTTAGCTTTGGGGTAAATTGTGACAAAGCTTCCAAATTGGGGATTAATTATTCAAGTTTCAAAATGGAGTGCAAGTGCAACTGGAAAAGCAAGCAAAATTTGAGGTAGACAAATCCATTAGGTTGTTTTAGCAGAAGGAATTAGAGTGAACGGCAAATGAGCAAACTTTACAACATACAAATAGTGAAGAGCAAGAAAGATAAAGTTTTGCACCTACCACCCAGATAAGAAAACTATTCCTGGCCAAAGGATTTGATGCATGATATCTGACAAAGGTTGTTTGCCTTCTCATGGTCTCCTCTCTTGTGATTTCTGGTGCAGAAGAAAATACCAACTTATAATTTTTGTCCTAAAACTCAGTAATCTGGATTTAACCATTTTTACTTTGGAACTAAATGAAGCATCAAGATGCCTGTTATATCACAATGCTCACTTATCATGTCAATAAAATAAATGATATAACAGCTAATATATGTTGCCCGGATATTCGATAACGGGACATGAAACTTCCTAAAGTGGAAACCTGGAAGATGCCAGAAAAATCTATTCTGACCCAAGCAAGCACAAGGAAAATTTCTGCTCAAAGAACCATTATTTCTTCATCCAATTTCTCCAGGATACCATAATCTTTGAGCATCATTACTACTATCAAGAGCTCTACACTTAATGTTTCAGAAAAGAAAAAAATGTATATAATCTATCAGGATATGCCTAACTATTCTCAAGAAAACCAAATCAGCACCTCCAAAAATATGCAGAAGCAATGGAAAGAAGAAACATATGAGAATGAGGTCACTGCCCTAATGAGATACAAACATGTTAAGAAACAAAAAATCTGGTCTCAATATCTGCAAAAACCGCTGGTATTAATTTTCTGGAAACTTTCATACCAAACAAAGGCCATGAGACAAAACACATCCTTCCAAATTTGATTTGCCCTAGAAGAAGGAAGAAATTGGATGAAGATTTACAAGAAACTATTCCAGAACCATCTTAAATTCAAGATTCTCCTATTTAACTTTTCTCTCCTTGAATTGTTTTCAAAGTGTATCTCTTAAAATTTTCTCAATTCCAAAACATATTCATAAATTTATTGGATTTTGAAATCCACCTAAAGGTTACTGAAGACAATGTTCCGCAGGTGTCCCAGATATGTATGTTCTTGCAACTCCCATTCTTAAGTAATTCTCAGTATGCCCTTAATATTTGAGAATATAAATTCTTAAAGTTAAGTGCTACCAGGAATAATATGAAAGTCAAAAAATAAATAAGTAAATAAAAAATAAATGAGCATGCTCTGGATTAACCATTTGAACGCAACCCAGAAGTAAACAAGAAGAATGTACCAAGAGCTTTCTGCTATCTAAATCTACAAACAATATCAATATGCTGTTTTCAGCAATACCTGTTAATGTATCATGGTGGTCCATATGAGCCTCTTCTTCCCATATCCTCCAACTATGAATCTGGTTAAACAATTACAATTCTAGAACAGTTATAGAAAGCAAAGGCTTTCTAATTTCATAATTCAAAGTAACAACTTCCCATGCATGTAGGCCAAACATAGTACCTAATGATAAAGGATTACATAACTCTCAGATGGGAAAATGCAGAGCAGAAATAACAAAAATGAAAAGCAATAATACCCGACTCTAATACCATATCACTGTTTCAGACCTAAAGTATAAACAACCTACCAAGTAAAGTGGTCCATTCATTGTCTAAAGCAACACCATTTCTCACACTCAGCCTACAGGAGTAATCACATAGATGATGTATCTTTAACAAAATTTAGAGAGTTACTCTCATTATATTATTTCTTTAAATCTGAGAACCAACTGCAATAACATCTTTTTTAATAATAAAAAAAAAAATGCTTAACTTACAGAATTTTCATTTAAGCAAGAAGGTCGCATAGTTTATTAAACCTATGAACCTCCTTATCGGTGAATATTTATTAGACATGGTCACTAAGGATTCATAGTTCACACCATATAGCTACTCAACAGTACCTGGATTTTATATCATCATCTACAGAGTGACGAGCATTATAGGCCAGATTTTTAAATTCGTTGTGCATCACAACATACAAATTCAATTACCATTCAGTCTGTTTATCAAATTCAGTCAGCTAAATGGAAAAGGGAAAAAACAGACATTGCAAACAAGGCACCATTACTTCTACTAACTTGGCCATTCCTAAAAGATTCATTAGAGTAAAATGCAAAATTTTCTACTAAATGATGAATCGTTTTATAACCTTCACAATAGCTAACAGCATTGTTAAGCAACTGTAAGATACGTGTGTGACAGCCATGACGAAGATGAAGCGATGCAACTGCTCAAGACCTTCATATGACACAAATGGTTCATGTCCCTGAGCAACAAAACAACTATTAGTATACTATTATGCATTTCCAATGAGAGAAAAGAAAAGAATCAGATAGATTGTTACATTATATTAAAAAAAATGTCCTTGTACTACATTTAACACACACAAGAACTAGAAAGTAGTATTCTTCAACACTTCAATATATATGAACTTTCGGGGCTTTTAAGATTTTTCTTTGTTATTTTTTCCCTTAAGCTCCCACTTCATCCAATAACTGATAACCCATCCTCATTGGATTTCCTCTCTTCAAGTTAGGATACTAGTTGCAAGGCAAGGTATGGGACTTGTTTTGGATCCCACATTGGAAGTATGAGATTTCAATGGGGGGTTTATATGAACTTGGACTCTCCAAACTCAACAGCTAGTTCTTGAGGTGTGATTCTCCCAAAGTTATAATACTTCATTTTCAATGTTTAATAATTTCTTCTTTCAATTGAAAACTCCCTCTCTCTCTCATTCTCCCCCCCCCCCCCCCCGATGATTAAATAGTGACCAAAAAACTTTAACTCATAAAATAAATGAATTGAATTAGTCGAGTTATCTATCTATTGTATGACCATAATCACAAAGAAATAGCTGAAACAGACATTGTTAGCAACTTGTAGATTACGTGTGTGACGAGCCATGGACGAAGATTGAGCGACTTCCCCATAAAAGGATGCAACTGACATCAACGGACCATTCATGCATAATAACAACAATAGGAAAAATTCATCTGTCCCTGAGGCACACGAAAAACAACTAATTAGTATGATCTATGTTATGAACATTTCCTTATGAGAGATATAAAGAATTAAAAGAAATCAGATATGATTGTCTTAGCGTTATTATTAACAAAATTATAGTACCTTTATACTACAATATTTAACACACTCAAAAGAACTAAGAAAGTGAATATATAGCTTCCCAACACTTCAATATATAAAACTAGTGACTTTCGTGGGCTATTTTAATGATTTTCTCTTTATTTTTTTCCCTTAAGTGCTTACCCACTTCCACTCCATAAACTAGAATAGCCGGGCATCTCATTGGATTTTCCTCTCTTCAAGTTTAGAGTAGGTCTCACATTAGTTTTGCACAGGTGCACATTACTATATGGATATGGGACATATTTATATGTAGGTTCCCTACTATTGGTATAAGTTATTCTGTAGATTTTCAAATGTGGGACGCGGGGTTTATATGAACTTTGGACTTCTCAAACTCAACAGCTAGTTCTTGAGGTGTGATTTTCTCCCAAAGTTTATTAATAACTTTCATTTTTTTCAATGTTTTAACATAAAATCTTTTTCTTAATATTCAAATATGCGAAAAACTCAAATCACCTCTCTCTACTCATTTCTCCCCCCATCCCAACCCCATCTGCCCCCCACCAAACCAAAAAAAAAAAAAAAAATATATATTTATGGGACCCCATAGAAAGCGAGCATTGTAATTACGAGCAGATTATACATATTTACGTAGTGAAAATACTTGCCGTCTTTGCGAGGTTTCCCTATCCAAGCCATTTCATGCATTCTCCCGGAGTAATGAGATTAAATTTCGAAGCACAGAAAGGATTTTTTAGCACCTAGATTTAACGCCCTAGGAGATCATCAGTTGCCTTTCATACTTCAACCAGATCCAGACAAACATGCAAGGAGTAAATTAGTAACTAGGTAATAGATAACTAGGTTGATTTGGGAATGCAAATATTTGCTATTGTCCTTGATGTAGCTGTAAGAGGGAGTGATATGCTTAATCCAAGCAGCATTCATTTACTGTGTTGAAGACTCTAAGTAAGGCAAACAAAAAACTTTTCAAAGTTCTCGAATTAATTTGACTGTTAGTGGCTTATACATATAAAGAAAAAAAAGGTTAGTTACTATTACTTAAAATATATTAGGCTACTGCAAATAAATAGTAACTATTGAAGCACAATTTACACTTCTTTATCTCACTTTTATTCCATCCCAGTGGCATGAAGAGCAAGCAGTTTTTTCAGATTACTGTTGTCTCCGACAGCCAACTTGAAACCACAACAGGACAATGAAAAAATATGTGAAATCCGAATAAACACTTTGAAACTAAACCAAAAAAAAAAAAAATATTATGGGAACCATAGAACACATTGAAATACGAGCATTAACAATATTTACGAGGAAAAATACTTGCCTCTTTGCAGGTATTCCTATCCAAGCCATTCAGCATTCTCCGGGATGAGAAACGAAGAACAGAAAGGATTAGTAGTTTACGCCCTAGGGAAGAATCATCTTCCTTCTCTTCACCAATCTCAGACAAAGAGCAAGGAGTAAAAGTACTATCATAGAACTTTGATGGAATGCAAATATTTGCTATTGTCCTTGATGTAGCTGTAAGAAGGAGTGATATGAATCCAAGCAGCATCAACTCTGAAGACAAGGGCAAAAAATTAAGGCTGAAAATGAGTTAGCATACATATAAAGAAAAAAAAAGTACTTACTAAAATATTTGGAATTGCATATAGAACTTGAGCATATACCTTCTTTCATTTTTTCCACGGCTGCAAGCAAAGGTTTCCGATTAGTTGTCCGAAGCCACTGAAACAAAGGAATGAAAATATGTGAAACACAAAAACTGTTGAAACTAAGACGAATACTAATATTAGGATGAAGTAACTTGGAGTTGGTTTCACTTAGTAATATCCTCACGATGATGATCTTGAGTGCTGGCTGTTCAATAATTATAATGTTCAGAGTATTTCCTTGTTTCAACATATGATGGATATCTTTCTAAGACAAACGTTGGAATATAGCATAAAACTATCTCCACGCCAAATATTTGCAGTGCTCTGCCTATAATCAAGCAAATCTGGTGGCTTCGTATCTCCAACTTAATTACGGGCTAATGTCCATATTATTAGCCTTAAACTTGATAGCAAAAGAGTTCCCTTATTTTTTATTCTTCAATTTGTAACTTAAGACTAGCAATGTCTTCCCACGAAAGCTAAACCAGATTTCCTTTTGCGACAGTGAAAAAATATCTGAAAGCTTCAGATCCTTAAAGCAATTCAAACAACCGAAGAAAGTCTAATCTTACAAAAAATTGTGGGCTCAAAAATAAATGATTAAAGAATCGTGTTACAAAAGAAAATAAACTTACTTCACATCAAATCCTAAAAAAATAAAAAATAAATAAAAAAAGACACTTTTCAGTATCTTGAAGAAAATAATAACAATAACAAACGGTAATGAGGTAAATGCAAAATAACACTCACATTGCTTAGTCTGTGTATTGAGCGCTCCACAATCAAAGAAACAGCCACAAAGATTGTCAACACAGTTGCAACAGACCATGTTGGAGTTAAAGCCAATGATCGCATTTCTTTACTATTTTCTGCCATATTTAACAAATCCTACTCATATACCAAAAAGAACACTTTCTTTTAAAACTTGACCCCTAAAATCCCTCTTAAGCGAACCACAAAAAACAAACCAGGAGCCATTTTCTAAAACTACAATTACATTAAACACTTAGCTTCTCAAATTCACAGAATCCTAAAGTTGGATCTTTTTTCCTATATTCAACAGTAACAATGCACAAAAGACAACTCTAAATTATGGGTAACTCACATTTTCAAGCTATATATGATTATAACTAAACAAAAGAAATGAATTTTTCCTTTTTGTCACCCTTCTTTGAGTAGAGAAAACGCCTAAACACAGCTTTCTCACTGAATAACCTCACTCTCTCTTTCTAGACACAGTTTCTGGGAAACGTCCCTATATTTTCATGGAAACTGAAGTAATTGAATTGAACTGACCATATTGAAAGAAAGCAGATCCAGTGGAGAAAGAAGCGGAGAATTAAAGGTTTTTTTTTTTTATTGATCCTATAAAATTGTTAAGAAATAGAGAGTCATTGAAGTTGGGTCTTTAGGATTTTTATTATCAGGGAAATGAAAAGAAAATAACTTTGATTGAGGTCTCGAGTTCCGGAACTGCTTTGATAATTCTGGTTTTTGATCTCTGTGTTTCAATGGACAACACCGATATGCCAGCACAGAAATTAAATATGCCGATGAGAGCCAGAGAGAGGATAGTTGCACTTGCAGCTTTCAAATCTGGAATGAGAAGCGAAAACGACGTCATTTTTTTCCTTCCCTCACGGTCCACTTAACTCAAACCATGATTAAGAGTAAAGATTCTGTTTAGTTTAGCTTATAATTAAATCAAACTTGTTAATATATAAATTTATAAATAAAACAAAGCTTGATTTGACTATAAAAACCATTCCTAAAATAAATTAAAAATAAAATTACTTCGGATAATTTATCTAATTTTTAACTAAATAAAGAAATCATATTCTAAGTTTTAAAAAATAAAAGAAAAGAAAAGTAGGTAAAAACACCTAATTTGACTAAATGACATTTCAGATCTGATTTGCTAACATTTTGTCCTGTGACAAAATCAGTTTGAAAAGGACAAATTACTGTTCTAGTCTTTGCAAATTCTACAGGTCCCATTCGCACGTTAAGGAGAGATTGGTGCTTTTTTGTCATTTTCAGGGGAAAGTAAACATGATCATATAGAAAATAATCTGCCTGCTTGATCATAGCCTCCACCACAGCAGTTCGAAGTGGTGGCAGGTAAAGACGTTCATCATCTATATATTTGATCCAGATTTAATTTTTTACAAGAGTATTTCGTTATACATGATGTCAAAATATTGAGGTGTTTTAGGAGGGCCTCTACTATCGGGATTAAGGATCGCAACACTACAATTCTATAAAAAAAAGACAACGCCTCTCGTCAGATTTCAGGAATTGACGCACCATATAAAGATGTTTTAAATTAATACATCAATACCTAACCGGAAACTCAAGCATATCGGGAAGCGACTAACACACCTAATATTCTCCCTTATTTCAGTTAAAAAAAACATGTAAAAAATAATCCATGTCAACGGTCAGTCGGTCACCACCATTTTATTATTTGGAAATTGGTCAATTGTGCTCTAGAAAGTAATAATGTCAATACACTTTGATCTATTCAATAATTTTTCTTTTTTAATATTGGGCTTATGCCGAATATTCACATTTAGGCAATTAATATATATATATATATAATATTAAAGAAAAACATTTTAAAAATATTGACATCATAGTTATTAAAGGCGCGTCTTAGACACGCCTCAAATACCTTACTTAAGGCTCAAGGGCTTGCGCCTTAACAGTTCTGAGGTGAGCGACTTCACTCAGCATATTGCCTCTAGGTAGAAACATGCGCCTTTTTTGTGCCTCAGGCTTGAGCAAGGCGCACCTTTCTATTTTTTGTTTTCCAGAACAACTCACCTAGGATTGTTTTTTCAATATAAAGCTATCTAGCAAATATCAACTTACACAAAATAAATTAATAAATATAAAAGAAATAAAATGCAACGCAAAAACTGGTGATGTGCTTTGTGATCCAACCTCCACTCCTTCATCTACCACTCACCTCTTGCAATCTAGTCTTCACCCCCATTCCATCCAAGTATAACTCTTTTAGTTTTTCTTCCTACATTTGCTTTCTATTTCTTTCTTTTTTTTTTTTAATTATACTCTTTTTTTGTCTTAACTTTAATATCTTAAAATATAACTTATCATGTTGCCTTTTTTTCTGATTTATGTGTGTTTCTTTCCATGTTTTCTACTTTTTTTTCATATTTTTATTGACATCTTAAAATATATTTTTTAGATTTATGTATTTTTTTTTTCCGCGTCTAACTTTACTCAGGCACGCGCCTTCATCTGGAGGCTAGCGCCTAGGCTCCAGCAACCTTTGAGCCTTAGCGCGTTTTATGCCTTTAATTATTATGGTTGACATGGACCTCTCATTTTTCAAGATTTTATTTTTCTTTTTAAAAAAAAATTAAAAACGATGGGTGAGCTTTTACCTAATTAATTTATAACTTTTAATTGATTACATGACAAAAATTAGTTGTAGACTTTTCCATGTAGCTATTTCATAAAGTTAATATTTCCATTGTAAGAAAAATTGAAAGGAGAATTTAGGAAATAAAACTATATCATTATATAATCTCTTGCATATTAAGTAAAATTAAAAAGCTGAACCGAATTGATTTAGTTTAAATTTTTATTTTCAATTATTTAAATTAATCAGTTTAATTTTAGTTATAATTTTAAGAAATTTCGATTTTGGATTCAATTATATAAAATGACTTAAATTGTCTAAAATTAAATTTGAACTAGCCGAATTGAATCTACCATTTTATTCGATTTGATTGTGAAAGTAATTTGGTTTCCATTTAATTTGAAAATATTTATAGACAACCAAAAAAATTTATGTCAATATACAGGTCAGGTTATTCTTAAATACATAAAATTTCACTAAAAAATTTTGATTAGACTCGTGCCAAAAAAAAAAAAACAATAATTCAACTGACCTACAAATAAAAATCAAGTAAAAGAAAGCAATAAAAATTTGAGTGATTTATTACTTTTATTTTTTATTTTTTTTCTCTTTTTTTGTTGAGTCATGAAACTTGCACACGTGTGGAGGATAATTCTTACATGGTACGAGTCGAATTTAGGGAAAACATAGAAGGTGGAACAGACAAAGGCTAGAGAATAATTTAAAAGGAAGGGCAAGGCAGACATCCTAGGACCCATTCAATTTGTTAACTTTAACATATATGTATAGTAACTGGCAAACAAAATCATATGGGCGGTAGTGGCATGTCTTCATGCATGGAAAGAGACATGTAAATTGGAACCACTCCAATTTCAGTCCCCAACCACTGATTAATTTAAAGGTTACCGACTGATCTTTTTCATAGCAGAAAATAATTTATGAATTCTTTTTTAAGACAAACATATTTGCTATTATTTTGCTAGACTATAAATATATTTGGCATGATTTGTGCTTGACCAAACTACATTATTTTTAGAAAGAATCAAATTAAATAAGAGGAACCATGTATAGATATGAGATATAAATCAATATATTTTTATATTTTTGTATAAAAAGTCTAATAATAAATCACTTATATATAAAAAATAAAAAATATAATTTTGTTTAAATTATTAAATCGAGTTGATAGAGCATAATATATGTGTCATATGTGATCACTTACTTCATTTTGTGGCTATTCAGAACTTTTAGATAATAATAACTCCGATCTGTATAAAAAAGATATATCTGAGGTTTATTTGAAAAAAATATAAATCAGGGTAATAAGTGATCACCGGTGGAAGTTTATCAATGGTCGTTTGTAGAAAAAGAAAAGTGAGCTTTTAGATTTTTCGAGAGAAAAAAAGACACGGCTTGATCCAATTACATTCATTTGAGATATATTTATAAAAATCCCAAACTGAATTTGAATGGTAAAAAAGACAACCAAAAAAAAAAAAATGATGAAGTTGGAAGAAAAAATAGCAACCATTATTCCCATGACTTACTCTTTCTCAATCTTTTTGTAAGTCCAATGATGCATGTGGGATAGAAGCCCCCGCTGTATTTTAGGGTAATATCCGCTCCGTTCCTTTTAGAGAAGATATAGATGGTTATAAATGGGTTTGAAATGGATACAGATAATGAAATTTATAGATACCCACCCCGCTTCCAACCGTAGATGCATGTTGTCCATGTTCTCCACGTGGCAAGTGTAAAGTAGGAAGGGAGGTGTTGGTCCTTTCAGAAAGAGCAACGAAACTGATGGCTGATCACTTGAATGGAGAATTGCGGGTGCCAGGTGATGTAGTACATCAACTAAAAAAATAAAATGCGTTTGATGTGACTTTTATATTGTGTGTTAGATCTACAACATACACTTCACCAGTTGTGCAATTAAAATAAATTGGACAAATAAATTTGTAAAAGTGAACTTAGATTGCTTGTATTGAAATAAATTTATAATTACATATGAAGTAAATGAACATAAAATAAGTCATAAACATAAAATAAAAATACTCAATTTCTTATTTCAATGTAATTATCAAATTTTCAAAAATAACAACTTCATTGAAAATCCTATAACCCATGGCTTATTTGGACATATATTGACAATTTCAAAAATTCCAACATCTTTAAAAGAGATTAAATTAATCCCAATGATTTCTACATTTTAATTTATTTAATATAATAGTCAATTTTTTTTTATATAAAAGTTCTGTGAATTACTGATTTTAAATCGACATTGTAAATTAATTATGGAATTTGATAATAATAGTTATGTAATACAAATTGTAAATTATAAGATAGAGCTTTTTCATTCTTTTATGTCTTTTTATTTTTTATTTTAAATATCAATAATTAACATATATTTAAAATAATAAATTTAAAATTTCTAGTAATGCATTATTTTAAAAGTCTAATAAAATATTCAAATATGTTTTTAAAGTGTCCAATAAGTGTCTCAAATGTGTCCATAAAATGTTTGAATTTAAATAATAGAATGCATTTTCGAAGTATTCGACACATACTCGGGAGTTTCTGAGGGGTGTTGTCCAACACGGGTACGACATGGGTACTTATTAAAGTGTCTGCGTAACTTAGGTAATACCAAATATACTATCAATTGAGACCAACAAAGTGTTGGTTGAGATGATAAACAGTCTTAATTCTTGCAAAAATCTTTACGTTGTACGACGAATAAAAAATCTTTACGCTTTACGGCATAAGGAGAACTACAAATTCTGATTATTTCCAAATAAAAAATACTATGAATTGTGAAAGCAAATGGGTCTAGCCAAACTAAGTCGAATTAGTTTGTTTTTGGTCTAACTGAATATATATATATATATATATATTTTTGATAATCGAATCCGAAAATGAATAGTGTAAGAATCTATTCAAATCAAATTGGATCCAATTATTTCAAACTTAGTTAATTACTTTGGGCTCAAAAATAAATTCGATTAATTATATGTGGTAATAAATTAAAATAAAAAATTAAACGGTTTTCTCTATTCAAATGAATCGACTAAAATGTTTAAAATAACCATTCAAATTCGATTGTTCAATTTTGAAGGAGAAACCGAGTATTGTGGACTCCTAAAAGCAAATGGAAAGAGACATGTTATCCCAACCCCAAAACTAGAAAAAAAAAGGAAGATAACTACAAGTCCCATTAGATAGTTTCACGTTTGACCCACAACATGCATTTGTTCACCAAAATTGACTTTGGACAAAGTTTATTTGTCTAATTTCTTTAATTAGAGACAATGACAAATGACCAATTCCAAGCTTAATCTACCAATTCGGGAGCGGTAAAATGGTGTCGGTGATTGACCGTTTAAAAGTTATTAATTAGTGTATTTTTTCAAATGTGTCTTGCATAATATATATATATATATATATAGGGACTGTTTAAAGCTTGGTCACAGACTCACAGTTAAAATTTTTTGCTCCTCTTTACAGGTGCGTTTAGTGAAAATCGAACTCAAAAGCTCTTTTAACATGTCTAGCATACATTATCAATTGAGTCATAACCCGTAGGTTGCATAATATTTATATTCATCGTATATACTTAATTTAATTTTTATATTATATATATTATAAAAACATCACAAAATTTAAAAAAATCAACAAAATAATGGTGTGATAATGATTTTTCATTCGATTTATGGAGTTCTAATGATAAACCAATGAATTACCTAAATATAATAAATGTTTTGTATCTAAATTGTTTAGTAAAAATTTTAAGTAGTAGGCCTAACCGTTTAAATTTGACTAATTTGCGCTCGTCCTCATGGGTAAAGAGGCTGATCCGAGGAGAGTTTATATCGCGGAAGATCAAATTTCGTAAGTACTATTTGCCGCTAAGCTACTCCATTCGGATTTAAATTAAACAAATGACCTACACTGACTTACTCTCACATGTGACTTTCTTAGCTTGAATTAATTTTTTTTTTTTGAATGTAATTCATTAATAATAATATCAAGAATTACAAATAAGTTAGGATATTATAAACTGTTAAAAGAGAAAAGATAGAAAAAGAAAAATAAATTGCAAGACTATCCAAGAAGGGAAGGCAAGACCACATGTGATTAGTAATTCCACTGGTTTTTTACATTTTAACTTATTGATTTTGTATTTACATTAATTTGAATTTACTCCATTAGATTTTTACCCTTTATCTCCGTTGAATTATTAATTTTATATATGACCTGCACTAATTAAATTTTCTATATCCGCCCCTATTTTTCACTATCTTATCTTGAAAAACAAATGGAAGAAACGCTGCCGTTTCAAACTAATTATTTTTAATTTAGTATATTATTCATACTATTTTTTTATAATTGTACACTAGATAACCGCACTGGACAGCGACTTCTGATCTTCTTGCTGCAAGTTATAACAACTGAAAATTTATGCTTTCATTTACATCCGCAAGAGGAGAGCAGATCTGTACATGTCAAATAAACAAAAGGAATGGATCGGCTCTTGAAAGCTGCACGAGCATCTGGTTCTCTTAACCTCTCTAATCGCTCTTTAAGGCAAGTTCATTAAAACTACTTTTTAATGTCGCATTCTTCGAGAATGACAAAATGAATAAATGTGATTGAATCTAAGCTACTAAAATTGAAAATCTGTTTCAAATTCTGATAATTAATGGTAATTTATCTTTTATTTATGGGTTTCGATCTTTAGGGATGTGCCCGATGAGGTATATAGAAGTTTGGATGCGGTTGGAGAGGGTGAGAACTGGTGGGAGGTAACTTTTTATTTTATTTTATTATAATTATTATAAGTTGGATCTATAATGGAACTGGAGATATGATTGGTGACTTGTTATTGCTTGATGGTAATTGTAGGCTGTGGAGCTGCAAAAGCTAATTTTGGCCCATAATAATATTGAATTGATAAAGGAAGACCTGAGGAATTTACCTCAACTTGTTGTTTTGAATGTTAGCAACAACAAACTCACTGCTCTTCCAGCTGCAATTGGAGAGTGAGTGTTTTGGCTTATTTATATGGGCTGCTTCCAACCTGTAACTATCCTTTCTCTGATTTTGGGTTCCTTACTTTTTGTGTTTGATGCTTAATGTGGGATTTCTCTTTTATTTAACAGGCTTCCCTTGCTTAAATCATTGGATGTGTCATTTAATATGATACAACAAGTGCCTGAGGAAATTGGATCAGCAACTTCTCTTGTCAAGTAGGCTTCTACCAAAAATACTTACGCTGTTTCAATTTTCATTGCACTTCTTTTGCTCAGTGTTGCCTCTTCAATGTTTATGATGGCATTGCTGGCCATTTGATTGACATTGTACATTTGAAGATCTTTGTATGCTTTTCTCCCCCTTGAATTATTGTGTCTTTATATGATTGCACATGCGCATGCATGTATTTTTTACCTTGTTCAAATTTTGTATCCTAACAAAATTTGATGTGAAGAAAGAAAAGAAAAGAAAAGAAAATGATAGTTTTGGACACAGGTGTCTTAACCAATTGCTTGTAATACTTCACACTGGTTAATTGTTTTTGTCTTAAAACTAAGAGAGCAAAGGTTTAACTTCTAAATGAAATCTGGTTCTCAGTCTTTTATATGTACTTAATTTTGGCCTCTAATTCCCTTCATTTTGAATGAACTACTTTTCCCTGGTAGTGCATCTCTTTTGTTCCTTGTTGTAAGCAATCACACTCTTCCAAAACCAATCTTTGGCTAGACATTTTTTACCTGACTAACCTTCAGCATTTATCCATAATGTAGCTACAGTAAAGACTTAAATCTGCATCATGTCTTTAATCACTTGAGTTTGAACAATAACATTTTTCTGATTGCAAGTGCCTAACTGAAAAATTTATGACCAAGCATCTCAGTTATGTGTTATCTATAAATGATTGAGAATCATTCTCAATTAGCCCTGTCAGATATCAAGTTGAAATAAACAGAAAGAAATTGTTGTTTATCATATCTAACCCAAAGTCGAGTTAATTAAGATGTGTGATGACCAAACAAAGACCAAAGTATTTAAGAAAACCAAAATACTTAAGAGTTAAGACTTACATGAAAACCTATTTTCTAGGTACTATAACTCCATCTTTTGAGACCATTGAAGTGGGCTATGCTAAGATCATGGAAGATATGTAAGTCAAATTGTGAAAATGATTAATTTCTGTCACATTCTAATAGTGGTAATTGAACTTGTTAATTTAGTTCATGTGAAAACTACTTTTGGTCTAGTACCTTCATTTGACCATCAATATCTCGTTGAATTCTAATCTTGTGTTTGATTTGTCATTGTGCATGTGTGTGTGCATTCTAGGTTTGATTGTTCGAGCAATCAGCTTAAGGAACTCCCAAGTTCACTTGGAAGATGTTTAGATTTGTCTGAATTGAAGGTAATGCTTACCATGATAAATGATGGCTATGCATCTCAATTTGTAAATCTGACACAAACTACAACTTTCTATTGTTAGTATCAGATGCTTATAATGTCAATGTTGTAACGTTTGAATCTGAGTCTCTTGATGCTGCTAAATGAGAGCTGTTTGTAATTTGCAAAACCCATGCATTTAATAGAAACGTATAGTTCCTTACCTTTAGACAACTACATTACCTAGTTACTCATCGGGTAATCATACAGAAGGTGGTAATTTACAAATTCCAATATCATTGTTGCTTGTATAGAAGTAAATGTGCTAGCTGGTAAGTTCATATTTTTAAAGTCAAAGGTTTGTGATTACTATTACATTATCTAACACATACTTCTAATAGTTTTTTTTAATTGATCTTTAATTGGGTTAGTTGTAAGGCAAAGGAAAGAAAAAGAACATATTTGTGGTTTTTGTAAATTAGGAGTGAAGAAGCATCTCTTATTGGGGCTTGTTTACAACCTAGTTTTTACACTGTATTATGCTTAAATATTCTTTTCAAGAGATCAGGATTCAAACATTTTTAAGTATCTGATCTCTTATGAAAACTTGCTTATGCTACGTTTTCCACAGGCATCAAACAACACTATCACCAACTTGCCTGAAGATATAGCAAGATGTTCAAAATTGACAAAAGTAGAAGTGGAGGTATTAGCAAGATTTGTCTTCTTTATTACTCAGTGATGGCTGTTTAGTTTTTTGTTTGGGAATCTAAATATATATCCAGGTAAATCGTCTCTTGTATCATAATGAAACTTCTACCTATGCCAGGGAAACAAGCTAAGAACTTTGTCAGGGAATTTGATGGTTTCATGGACCATGCTTACAGAACTTAATGCATGTAATGACCTCTGGTAGCTGTTGAGTTAGTTCTCTGATAACAGTATCAAATTTCTATGTTTTACATATGTGGAAATCTAAAAATATTTTCATTGTTCCAATCTGAGCAGCAAAGAACTTGCTGACTGGTATACCGGATAACCTTGGAAGCCTTTCACGACTCATTCGTCTTGACCTTCATCAGAACAGTCAGTATTAACCTAGTGTTTCCTTGCTCAATATCCTCATTTTGTTAAATATATCATAATAAGTTGCCTGTATCTGAGTTTTGCAGAAATTTCATCCATTCCGCCATCAATAAGGGGCTGCACTTCCCTTACAGAATTTTATATGGGGTCTTAGTCTCACCCATTTTTAAATAATACATTTGAGTTATTTGGGATATTTGGAGTATGTGGATATTGTATCTTACTTAAAAAGTTCCACTTTTGAAATTCATCTTGCATTTGTGACCTCTTTTCAGGAACAATTCACTGTCTACTTTACCTTCTGAGATGGGGGAACTTTGTCGCTTAGCAACACTAGATCTCCACTCAAACCAGGTGTGCTTTATTGAATTTGTTCTAATATAATAAAAGAACTTTCCCTCTATATTTGGTTATTGGGATAGGTTAGAGCGCAATGGTCTATTTGATAATAACTCATTCAACTTCATTTGACATGAAGTTCCATTCTGTATTAACATGTTTTATCAGTTTTTTGGTACCTGAATTTTGTGTTTTTGAACCCATGCTTTCATAGTAATTGTTGAGAAGATTTATTTGCACTAGTCATCTAAGAGTGCTCCATTGGCAATACTTTTGTTTCTTGTCTTGCCTCATTAATTGGTTTCTGCAGAAACATTTCAAAACAAAGTTAATTGCACTATCATGTGGTGTGATTGCATTCAATATTACCTCAGACTCGAGGTGTTGGTCACTAAATTATGGCCTGCATACTAATTACTTTATACTGTGTGCAGCTGAAGGAGTTCCCTGCTGAAGCATGCAAATTACGTCTTTCAGTCCTGGATCTTTCAAATAATTCATTGAGTGGACTGCCCTCAGAAATTGGTAAGCTTAGCAAATTATAGATTGATATGAAATTGAATCAGTTCTCTATGGATTGGATGCAATAGTCTAAGAAATTTTGCGTGTTTCACAAATGTTGGAGCATATGAAGGAATCGTTTTTACGAGAGGGGATTAATCCATTGGGCTAAAACAAAATCATTGGGGGCAATTTCTATCATGGCCAAGAAAACATTGAAACCTATAGTGCATGCTTATCATTAGATGTTGTGTTTCATGATATTAAAATTCCAAAAATGAAACATACTGAGGGAGGACCATTTTCTATCTCCATGTACTGAGATACTTGGTGGAATTGACATGATCTGAAAAGCAACTGTCCTTGTGTGAAATGAGGGAATACAGCATACAGAATTTACTCCTGGACTCTTCTAATGATCATTATCATTTTACTTATTCTCAAACGTGAAATATCTAGTTTTAGTGCTAAGGATGCAAATATAACCGTGGTCTGTTGGTCCATTTGCACCTCTATCATGCTTTCCTTTCTTTAGTTTTCACTTTGCTTGTTGGGCTCTGAGGAGTTAAACTTGTTGATTGTTTAAAATAAAAAAAACAGAACACCTCTCATTCATTGTACAGGCAAGATGACTACCCTACGAAAATTGCTGCTTACTGGCAATCCATTGCGAACTATACGAAGGTGAGGGCCATAGCTTTATTCTGCATGAATTCACCATGCTTATTCATACAAGTTCATTAAATGATATTTTCCCCTCTGCCAGCTCATTGGTTTCTGGACCTACCCCTGCTTTATTGAAGTATCTTCGAAGTAGACTTTCTGAAGGTGAAGGTATGCTAGTATTTTTTTTACCCATTTGCATGATTAATAATTCATTTCTAAGTTTGTTGCCTTCTACCATGTTTTTCCCTTCATTCATTCTGTTGTTGTTAAAGTACTGATTTCTTCCCAGTACTAGATGCACATGATTTACATCTATAAATCACTTAAAAGAATTGTCCTTCTCATATAGATTCTGAAGCTACTACTCCAGCAAAGGAGGAAGTTATTTCCAAGGCGGCTCGATTATCTGTTAGTTCAAAGGTACCCGTCATTTTTAATTTCAACTTGACCTTTTTTTAGATTTTTTTGTAGATTAGGCTTACTTGGAAGCTTTGAGCTTGAAATTGACCGTTGAAATTTTGACCATTTATGTGCACTTGTGATCTTGTCAATGCAATAAACTAATTTCTTCTATTTACTGGGTTTTTCTTCAGAGGCTGTTCTCTTAGCTAATTTTGTATGTAATTCTGTACTACATCCAACTTGAATCTGAATGACCAGATCCGACCCAAACTAGTATAGGCTTAAGGCATATGCTTGTTTATTACTTAATAAAGCAAATGATTTTAAAAATTTTTAAAGTTTTTACCAGCATTATTTTCTCATTTCAAAATCCTTTGTTTCCCTAGTTTATGCTTTTTTAAAAAATTTATTTCTTGCTATTAATTGATCAGAGTGGAAATGATAACAAAGGATTCATATAACCGACCCCAACTAGTTTGAGATTGAGGCTTAGTAATCTGCTGCATAAAATAACTTGGAGCCAACGTGTTGTGGATTCTTAAACATGATATTGTCTTACTTTGGGTTTATTCTAAAACATGCTAATTATGCATTTGGGGTAGTTAAATTCTGCTTAGAAGGATGGCACCGTCAGTCTCCCACTTCCCACATGCGAGATGTGGGACATTTTTGGTAATCATTTGCAGTATGCATTGGGGTAGCCTTGCCTTTCCTTTCCCTTAGACATCGCAATCGAGGTATGAATAGAATACAGTCTAATGTCATTGGTATTGATACCAAGAGATGTTTCCAGCTAAGCTGGCTGGTGCCTGGTGCCTACAAATCTTATTATATTACTGTGCTGTTAATTGCATTGTTCCCCATAAATAATGTGGTAATCCTAGCAGACAGCTTAAATTTTCTTTCTGTCTAATTAGTCTATAACTTATATATTTGATTTCTTTAGCTCAATTAATGCTTGTACTTTCAGGAACTTTCTCTGGAAGGGCTGGGTTTGAGTGCTGTTCCATCAGAAGTATGGGAATCGGGTGAAGTTTTAAAAGTTGATCTCTCTAGGAATTCCATTCAAGAGCTTCCAGTTCAACTTTCTTCATGTGTTTCCCTCAAGGTAAATTTATTTTATTTTCTGTATTTATTAACATACTGGAATTTCAGATGAAAAATGCTAGTATTTTATTATTTTTACTCTTTTCCCAAGTATGATAAAAATTTGAGCCAGTCCATTTTTTTTTTTTTTTTGTTTCTTATCTTATTTCAGAATTTTTATAATGGGTATGAAGTATAAGAAATGCAGAAATAGGTTTGATAGATAACATTGCATGTCATGTTTAAAGGATCTGTCGACAAGAATCTGTTAATCATGTAGATGCTAACATCTACTGTCGTTGTGTTTAATCTTGAACATCTTGATTAGGTACTAGTGCCTGGCACCGTGAACATTGAAACTGATGTTTTTCATATGCTTTGAGTGGGGAGGTTGTTGGCATTACCAGGTCATAGATTATTTGATATTTGCCATCTATGATTGTTTTGTGTGATAAAAAAAAATTGATTTTATGTCATGTAATTAACAATACTCTCTGGAGGCTGAAAAGGGTAAGAGTATGGCCTACCGATAGGAGGTGTCATGTAAACTATCACTGATTTATCTTCATATTTATGCAAATCTGCAGACTTTGATTTTATCCAGGAACAAGATCCAAGAGTGGCCTGGTGCAATTCTGAAATCACTTTCTAATCTTGCATGTTTGAAGCTGGACAATAATCCACTTAGACAGGTATAAAACACCTGATTTATGATTCTTATAAAATGGACTAAGGGATTCGTTATAGAATTCTTTTTTTTTTTTGGTAGATGTTTTTCTTTTATCATGTTCTTCTCAACTTTTCGAGGATAACTTTCGATCTTTGCTGTCATTAATATAGGGGCATTGAGATAGAAAATTGATATCCAGCCAGTTTGTGCCCAGTAAGAATTGTTAGTTATCGATCATGAAAAAATTAATCCTTCATTAAAAAAGTTAAGATGATGTTGCGGCTAGTCTGGGTTCCAAAGATGTTTCCTTAAGGTCTTCATTCTTCTTCCCATTCTCCCCTTTTTGTCTTGTCAAGATTGCATACGTCAGACATCTTGAGGTTTTCAAGTTTTCCTTTTGTGTTTATAGACATCTTGTGGTTTTTAACAGTGGATGCAGCTCAAAACTTATCCTTTTGTGTAATGCTGCCTGCTTTCATTTAGTATGATCTGGTCATCCTATTGTCTTGATCCATTGTTGCATGTGCTGGATTTCAAGTTTTCCTTTTGTATTTATATGTGCATTTCTACTCTGATCAATTGGGTATATTTTATCTTACTTGACCTGTAGATTCCATCAGATGGATTCCAAGCATTTTCAAAACTTCAGATTCTGGATCTAAGTGGTAATCCAGCTTCGTTTCGTGACCATCCAGCATTTTCTAGCTTGTCACATTTGCAAGAGCTTTACTTGAGGTCAGTCAGCTGGTAATTGTGGCTGGGGCATGCACACATGTATAATTGTTTCATAAATATGTGTGACGTTCTCTGCATTTATTTATGCTTTGACATGCAAAGTAGTTTTGTGGATATCAAAATTTCATTTATCTTTTTTCTGTTTTAACATGACAGACAAGTTCAACTTAATGAGTTACCATCAGATATATTGAGCTTACAACAACTGCGGATCCTTGACTTGAGCCGAAACTCTCTGCAATCAATCCCTGAGGTAACAATATTTATTTGCTGGATAAAAAATTCAGCATATGAAACCATTAGCTAAGAAATGGTTAAAGTCGTCATGATTGCCATGACTTCGATTCTGATAGATAAGAAACATGGGAAACGATTCATCTGCTACGTGATTTCTGCATACAAATTCCTTTCTGTGTCTCTCTCTGTGTGTGTTAAGCCAATAAAAAATTATTTTAGTAAGTTATTTAATTGTATGTTAGAAATAAATGAAATGCCTTCATTTCCCTCTTTGGAGAAATAAAAGAAAATCATTTACACTGGATTGCCAGCCTGCAGGTGCTTGACTGTTTGTTACTTTTCCATGCAGGGTTTCAAAAATCTTACTTCTCTTACAGAGCTTGACCTGTCTGACAATAATATTTCAGCACTTCCACCAGAGCTGGTCAGTATACCAAATCCTTTCGCTATTTATGGGTTATAGGAAATCTTGTTCGAAAAACTTCCCTACCTCTTCTCCAACTTAAACGAAAAGAGAAGAGATGGTTGGTTTGGTAATATCAAATCACCATTTTTCAGAATGAGCTTAATCTCTGCTATTATAGTGATAGTCCTCATATTCCTAATGAACAGGTGTTGTATGATTGAGGGTTGTGAATGTTAGTCTATTTGTAGCAAATTAAAAATATCATGCTAATGAAATTATATAAAGAAGCTGTGCTATAAAAAGGAACCAGACCTTCTTTAGCTCCCAATTTTAATGTTATGAACCACAGATAAGACATGAATTTGTTTCTCCTATACTGACTGTCAATTCTATTGCTATGGGTCATAGTCATAGATAACTAAAATGTTGTTTTCTCCAAGCATTTGTTAATTGGTACAAGAACCTGTTTATTTTAGCTTTTTGTGCACTTTTTGCCATTAGAACTTGCTATGTAAATCATTGAAGCATTTATCTTTATTAACTATTTTAACGTTATAGAGTTGTGCTATTGTGGAATAATTTTTTTTTTTCCTTCTTTTTTGTTGGTCCAGGGTTTGCTTGAACCAAGCCTGCAGGCCTTGAGACTCGATGGAAATCCATTGAGAAGGTATGGTAACAAAAGGATTTATTTGCTAGTTCAAGTTATAGCTTGATTTTGATTGAGTTGACTAGATGGTTTTGATGCATGAATTTCATTTGATAGTTTGATATCTTGGTACTTGGTAGTTGAACTTTTTCTGAAATAATATGCAAAAAACATGAAATTCCAAATGAATTCTACAAAATTTTTTAGAATTATTTTATACCAAATAGGGTCTAAGCAAAAGAGATAAGTTTAACCTTCTGGTTCTCCCGAGCATTTGCATCACCGTACTGATTATAATTCTGTATTTTTTTTTTTTATTCTACAGCATCCGAAGAACAATTTTAGATAGAGGAACAAAAGCTGTTCTGAAATATTTGAAGGACAAAATTCCAGACCAGTAGCTCATTCATGTCCCTTCGGTACTCCTGCTTCAAATTTTTGTATTCTTAAAATTTGTCTGGAAGCTTGATTTGAAAAACCTCATGTTTGTAATTCTGAGAGTAACAGTTTGTAGCATATACAGTTGTGTAAACAAATGGTTGGATTACCATTGATTTTTCCCTATTTGCTTTCTTCATCATCATTTTGTTGATTTTCAATGCAAGGATAATCCGGAGCTGAACTCTTTATTAACAATATGCACTGGAAATTAAGGATGTAAATGAACCAAATTGTTTGTGGACTAGTTGAGGTTCAGCTCGATAAAAGTTTGGCTCGATTCGAGTTCATTTTCTAAACTAACCAAACTTGAACAAAATTTTAGACTCGTTTAAATAAACGAACCAAGCTTGAGCATGAGGTTAACGCATGTGAACAGTTTCGTTTACAAGGCTCATGAGCAAGCATGTGAATGGACTCGTTTAGTAAGTTCGTGAACAGGGTTAGTGAGTTCACGAGTTAGTTTGTTTACTAGGCTAACGAAGGGCTCATTTATAAATCTATTCATACTTGCTTTATTTTAATTATCATTAATATTTTGATATCATTATAATTGTGTGTTTCTAATATTATTCTAATCACAATTATTTTAATTATGAATATTATTCAAATAAATTAATTAATTATAAAACTTTTTAATTATAATTATGTCTGGTATCACAATTATTATTATACTAAGTAATATTGTAATTATACCTTAAAGCGATGGTATGCTAGATAATAGGTACAATACATAACAAATATTATAAATTTATAATTATATGTAAATAATATTAATATTTTAAAAAATATATTCTTAATAGTATTTATAATTATTAATAATACTTCTGAATGCAACTCTAAGCGATATAGTTTTATTTGTGATTTAGACTTGTTACGTTATTTTAATAGTAAAAATTACTTTATTATTATAATGTTAGCTATTAATTAAAAGGCCGTAATTATATTTCAGTATTGTAGTGACAATAATACTAGATAAAGTATTAAGCTTAGTAATTCTTTATTAGATAATATATTTTTTAGGTTATAATTATTTATAATCATTGTAATTCTTAAATTTTCAACACTAGACGTATATGTATAAGTATAATAATAATATATATAATGATACTAAAAAATAAGATAAAATGACAAATAGCCGGTGGTAAAATAGTTTAATTATTGCATGGAGGAACTCGTTAGTTTAATTCCATCATTCATCATAAAATTTTGGTTTTAAAACAAACGGATATCGGATACTCGACCTGGATAATGGGTACCCGACCTATTGAATCTGAACCGGACGCGGATTATCGTAATCCATTTATTCACTCCAGGGGTTAAATTGACGAACCGGGGCATGCCTAGATGTACCAATCAGAATCAAACACAATGTAGATACGAATTAGCTACATTTGGCATTGTCAGCTTGTTAGCGCGTAGAGCGTCTAGCTGTTACCTACTCGATCGCACAATTGGTGGGTAAGCATCCACATTTTCTCGCTCCTCCAATAGTGCTGCGCGAGTCACAAAAGCCTATAAACGCTTCCCACGTGGCAATATCACAGACATCCACGTGTCAAAACGAAGTAGGAAAACAGTGAACTAGAACATGTCGAATCCCAGATGTAAAAACTGACCAAAAGACATTTCTTTCTCTTTCTTTCCAATTTTGTGCCCTAATTCCCTCATCTCTCTAGAGAGAGAAAAATCCATAATAGAATCAAAAGGTCTAGAGAGAGGGCGCATGACAGCTAAGGGAATTCGGCTGTAAAGATACCAAAACCCTAAACTTTCTTCTCTTATTTGGTGTCTCTCTTCTTTTACACTCTATAATTTCCTAATTTACTGTTTCTTTTGAGCTCAAATTGCTGCATTTCGGTTTAAAAAGTTGAGATCGGCACCGAAAAGCGTCACTTGCGTTTCTTTTCCTAGTAAGTTATCGCTAATTGCCTACTTTATTGTAAGAACCCTTTATATTTTTTATTGGTTTGAACCGAGTTATGATCTCAAATAACCTCACATTTCGTTATCTATTGCTTCAAGTTATCAAATTTTGATTAATTCATTCTTCTTTTTGCACTAATCTGATTGAATTGTATTTCATTGGCAGGTGAGGTCCCACGTTTTGACAAAATTTACAATAATTTCTCGGGTTTTTTGTGTGTGAAACGTCCCTTCTGATGTTTTATTTTCAATCACTGAATCAAAAACCTGTGAATTTCTCATCTAGGCCCCCTTTCTTGTACTCCATCCCATCTATTTTCCTTCCCTCTGATGTTGTTTTCTTTATAAGTGGCTTTAATTGCTTTAGATTTCGCCTGAAAATTTGACGTCTTCGGTACCTCTGTGCTTTTGAGCTCATTTTTGTGGTTAAGCCTTGAATTTGAAATTTGAGGGTGAGAAAGTTGGTGGGTTTTAACTGTGGAGGTGAAAAGTGAAGAATTGATATAAATGGCAGATAGGTATACGTTGGTGTCAATTGAGGACTTACCATCACATTTGGTTTTAGAAATATTGACAACAGGCAGGCTTAGTGCCATTGATCTTGTTTGTTTAGAGTTAACTTCAAAGACTTTTGGAGGGAGCCATGGGCTGTACCCTCACAAGTTCAAGTCAATGGTAGATTTTGCAGCATTTCAGCTTTGTGTTTCTCATGGCGTTTATAATGGGATGGGATGGAATGCTCAGAAAGAATTGTTTGATCGGTGTGGAGGGAATTGGAAGCGGGTCTTAAGATTCTTGCAGACTGTGGAGGAATCGTCTAGCATGGTCAAGACTTCAGCAGGCAATGTACTATTTCTTTATATATTTGCTTTTATGTTTTGATTAGATTAATTGAATGAAATATGAATTGCATATTGCATATGGTAGAGTTATTAAGTATGCAAGGTACTACCACTCCAAACCATTTGCTTATCATTCAAATTTTAGTTATCAAGCAACTCAAAAGCAGTGAAAAAATAACAAATATACTATATTTTCTTTTCTTTCTTTCTTTCTCTATTTTTTTTCTTTTTGGAATATTCATGTCTGGCAAATGATTCTTAGCATTTGTGAATATTTATTATGATCATTCAAGTAAAATAGGAAATATTCACTTATTTGAATTCTGATGATGAATATCATTTGCCAGTGCTTCCACTTGTGAAACAGGCCCAATTGTTATAGATATAAAACCTATTAAGAGGCCTTGAGTCATCATTTTCATTTACCTATGAGCAATTGACACAATTAGCACCAGGTCATTTACCTTTGAAGAATGATAAAAAACTATTTACTACATTCCATCTTTGTAATATAATTTTTGATTTCCGGCAATAGCTTTCTTGTTCATGTGATTGTATTCTCATTGTTTGTGCAATTGCCTCTTTCATTCTCTGATGATTCTAGAAGAGTTCTTATATTTGTCATTTCCCCCCTCCATTTGGTTAAATCAGCAGATGCAGATCACAACTGGAAGGTATCACACATTGCTGATCAGCAATTCATCTGTCTATTCTTGTGGTTCCAGCTTGTGTGGTGTTCTTGGACATGGCCCTGAAACGACACAATGTGTGGCATTTAATCGGATTAATTTCCCATATTTGGGTCGTGTGGTTCAAGTCTCAGCCTCCCACAATCATGCAGCTTTTGTTATGGAGTCTGGAAAGGTTTGTAATCGTTCTTCATGAGGGACATACTTTATTCTGAACCAATTAGTAGTTGCTTTAGGTTGCTATAGCTTCGGAAGACTAATCTGATATTTGTCAAAAGGCTAATATAAAATTATTGAGTATGCTTTTACAGCTATGTGTTTGATGTGGAAGTGGTGCTTGACCTGTGATGTAAATGAACAAAGCCAACTTGTAGTGAGGTGCACACATATGCTTGGTAAAAATTAAAAATGGCCAAAATAAAACTCACTAAATAAATTATGGCCAGGAGTCTTTGTCCAATATGAATTCAATATTTTTAAAGAGAAAAGTGAGGGTCCTCATCTATAATATCTCAGGTATTATTTAACTTGGAAGCCCAAATTCCAAGAAAAATGAAAATAAGACAGGCTGCAAAGAGAACGATATCATTCAATAGCAACAAGGGGTTGCCAACCCACATGCACGGGGAAAATCATTTGCTGTGCGAGGATCTAAGGCATTTCACTCATCACTGAAGTACTGCTGCTTAAGTGTTAGAGGAATGCCGTGTCATTGAAATTTATAAGCAAACTATGTTGTTATGGAAAATGCAAAATAAGTTAGAAGTTTTAATTTTATTAGGCTTGGAACTTGTTGGCTTAATTTCCATGCTTAATTTCCATATTCAAACAAAACGCAATGTTTTGTTTACAAGATGAAATAAATGCAACCATAACCTTGGCTTGAGAACTTGTGTGAAATGCTTTTTCTTCAACACAAATACAAGCTTGTAATTTGAACAGAACTCGTGCTTTAATTACTAAGTTTTAGGCTCACTGCTCGGCTTGCTTGTGCCTTTATCTTGACAAAGCATCCTTGATTGAGTCCAATGTTTTATAGACACGGTTATTGGTGTTTAGCATTGCGAAGAGGGGGCTATATATGAATCTTTTTGTCACGGATATGTATTTAGTTCTGCTGGCTTAAACTTCATAGCATTGCCTTGGTTTTGTTTCTTTTTTTCTCATGCATCTATGAAATATTGATCTAGTGGTGCATATGTATACTCAGGATTTTGTCATGTAGGGAGATTAAACGCATACTGTCAACCCTACTGGACAGGTTGCTGCACTGATATTATTGTTTCTCTTTTTTCCTTTAAAGATTTTCATATTGCAACCAAGAACCTTCACAATATGAACCTTATAGACTGGCAGTGTTACACGTGGTTTATAAAATTGAGTGTAGTTTTGGGGAAAAGTTTTTCTTTCATATGAACCTAATGTTGTCAACTACTGATGCAGGTTTTCACATGTGGAGATAATTCATCATCTTGCTGTGGTCACCAAGATACAAGCCGCCCAATATTTAGGCCTAGACTTGTTGAGGCATTTAAGGGAGTTCCTTGTAAGCAGGTAAATGTCATTACATGTTATTATATATAGTGTACTTTTATGTTGCCAAAATAAATTGTTTATGAGTTAGATAAGAACAGATATGTGGTATTTAGTTGGTCCTGAATATAGGGTGCAGATATTTGTTGCTTTATTTGAAGGAGGTTAGGAGTTCTACTGCTGTATTCGGTTATTGTTTCAATACTATCAGTCTGGTTCTTGGTTTAGTGATCATCTGCAATATCTTAGAAATATATCATGAGCGTAATAGTTAAATCTTTTCATGCCATAAAGTACTCTGCTCATTCGTGAAGTATTTTGCATTTCATCTAATAAAGTACTCTGCTCATTTGTGAAGTATTGAGCATTTTGGGAACATATTTCATGATTATTTCTGAAATGTTTACTAAATGAAGGGGCCAAAGCTCTTATTTGAGAATTTAAGTTGGGTATTAAATCGTCTTCTTCTCTCTGTGGGACATTAATATAGTTAGCATCTGGATTATGCTTCTCCTGAAATGAAGACAAGTCAGACCTACTGAAAATTAATACTAAAGTGCTAAACTTGTTTCAGGTTGCTGCGGGATTGAACTTTACTGTATTCCTCACAAGACAAGGCCATGTATACAGCTGTGGGACCAACACACATGGGCAGCTTGGTCATGGTGACACACTGGACCGACCAACACCCAAAATCATCGAAGCACTTGAGGGAGTTGGCTCTGTTGTCCAAATTGCAGCTGGTCCCAGTTATGTCTTAGCTGTAACTGACAATGGGACAGTTTACTCTTTTGGCTCTGGTTCTAATTTTTGTCTTGGCCATGGAGAGCAGCATAATGAGTTTCTGCCTCGTGCAATCCAGACTTTCAGAAGAAAGGGAATTCATGTGGTTCGTGTGTCTGCTGGAGATGAACATGCAGTGGCACTTGATTCCAGTGGATTTGTTAGTCTCTTCATTAAAGATTTTTTTTTTCAGTCCTTACTTTCTTTGGCTTAACACTTTCAATAACTTTAATTTTTTGTTATGGCGATTGTAGGTATATACTTGGGGAAAAGGTTACTGTGGTGCACTTGGCCATGGAGATGAGATTGATAAGACTCTTCCCGAACCCTTGAACAGCCTTAAAAGCCACCTTGCTGTGCAGGTTCGTTCAGTCTACTTGATTGTCATTAACTTTAATCTTAGTCGTAGGCCACCTATGGTCGACTCTAATACTCTAATTGAGGGGTAGAACTAGAACCCTCTTAGGACCTAATGAATATGCAGGATGTGTCTATATGAAGTTCGATTCTCATAGCTACCTTATTCCCCCAAAATACTGATATTGTTTATATTGGAAGTGAATTTATTAATCTTTATCCCCTGTTTATTCCTTCCAAGGAAGAGAATTTACTTGTGCAAAATGCGTTCTGACCTGTGAAAGCATGCACTAGATATTTCCATGATTGGTCCCAAGTCCTATTTGACAGTCATTGATATCTGTATCAGTCATTCCAAGTTATAATTCCTCTAAGTCCAATCCACTGTTATTGTTTGAAAAAGGAGACAATTAAGCTCAGACTAACTAGTCAACTACTAAAAACCCATGAACCTGACGTTAAAATTGATCTAAAACTAAAAGAAAACTAATAATATCTATTGTGGTATAACATTTGGAAGACCTTTCCTCCACTAAACTGCAAAGAGAAAACTCCATGGATTATTCTTGTTCTGAAGCTTTTCCATTGACCTTCCACATGTAAGTCGTTACCTACCAGTTTAGATTAGAGCTTGATTTCTCCTCTGTGAATTCACTACTGGAGTTTGAGGTTGGCTTAGTGATATTGCTCAAAATTCTCTTGCTGATGCATGTCAAAGAGCTACCCGATAAGAACTGAATGTTTAACTCCAAGTGTACTAATGATAGCTCAGTACATACAAATTATTGCACATTGAGGCAACATTTTTTATAGAGACAAGGATAAATGAAGGCAGTTGGATGCCTCTTTATAATGGATTATGGAGTTTTCATGGTGAGATAGAAAACACCGTCTTGGTGCATCTATTTTAACATTTCTCAACAATGAAAAGCATGTAAGAAATTGGGGAGGGATTACAATGCTTGTTTCCATATTATTATAGTTTATACTGTAAATTACTAGAGCCATACATGTGTTGGCCCTTTCACCTTTTTGTGATTTTTAATTTTGGATACTCAAGAAAGTAGATGAGCTAAGTATTCGTGCTAGTTATGGGGTTTGCTTTTGTTTGTCCTTAAAGCGCTTTACTTCTCTTATGCCTGATTGTGTGGTATGGCAGAAATTTCTTGAAGCTTTTGTATCAAGAGGTTCAACAACTTTTTCTGTGATTTTCTTAGGAAATGCAACCACGATTCTGTAGAACAATCATGAAATCAGCTGAAATATAACTCACATCATCTTTCCCTTACACATTCTTTTCTCTGTTTATGTATCGTGCGAGACCCATCAATGGCTTTGTTTATTATTATCTTTTAGGTCTGTGCAAGAAAAAGGAAAACCTTTGTTCTGGTTGATGGTGGCCGTGTTTATGGCTTTGGTTGGATGGGTTTTGGTAGCCTTGGTTTTCCAGATAGAAGAGTGTCTGACAAAGTGATGAGGCCTCGAATTCTCGATAGCTTGAGAGCATATCGAGTTTCTCAGATCAGCACAGGCCTGTATCACACCGTTGCAGTCACTAGCCAAGGGCAGATATTTGGATTTGGAGATAATGAAAGAGCACAACTTGGGCATGACACATTGAGAGGTTGCCTTGAACCAACAGAAATTTTTGTTCCAGAATTGGCAGATGATACAGACGTTGCTTCTGAATGAGTGTTGAGGGGCTGCCATTAATTTTATGGATTTGTGTAATAACTGGATACTGGTAGATTTTTTATTTTTTTCATCAGAGAATTTGGCAAAATGTAGCTATTTGAGTACAGTGTTAAGTTAATGTTTTCATGAAAAAGACTAGCAGGTGTAACATTGTAACGTTTAATTACTATTTTATCATTATATTTGTTTTGAAAATATTGAGATACTTATTCTTCTCCTGCATACACCAGGTTAAATTCTAGTAAATTCAATATTGAATACATTAAATTGAGAAAAAAAAATCTCTCTAAAAGAGGAACAACCCTCCAAGAGATTAAGGCTAACACCCTACGTTGAGAGGGTCATTACCAACTAGCAAGTACAAATTTGCTAACTGATAAGGAAATAAGCCAGAAAGAACATTGTCGTTAGTATTGTAAATTTGTCTCAAATGTTAGTGGTGGATTATAATTTATATTTGGTAATGTTCATTAGATCTTTTTGGTTGGGAAATTTCATATTTCACCCAATATGAAAGCCCGTTTGGTTTAGTTATGGGTCAGTTGATGAATGTGGGCGTTTGCTAAAAAAGCAAAGTACAATTAAGGATATAATTATTTTTATATTTATGATGTATAACGAATATTTTTTTGAAAACTTATTAAGGTGAAAATATATATTTTTTATTTTAATGTATTATATAAATAAAATTTTCTTAAAAATAATGTTTAACAGAAAAAAATTATTTAAATAATTATAAACAAAATATTTACAAAAATTAATTTAAAATCATTTTTACGAGATTAATAAAGTCCAAATAGAATATAAATTACAAATCATCTATGATTTTCCACCATTCATCGTTACACCTTTTTCTTCTCAATTTTATTTTCCTAATAATCCCTTTTTTTTTTTTTTTTTAAACATTTTTTACGAGATTTAATAAAAGTCCAAATAAGTATAAATTACAATCATCTATGATTTTCCACCATTCAATCGTTACAACACAAGACCCCTTTTTCTTCTCAATTTTATCTTTCCTAATAATCCTTTTTTTTTTTTTTTTTAAAGAAAAGGTACTATACTTTTTTTTTTTTTTTTTAAAGAAAAGGTACTATAATGATCATTACTCAGTACTAAGCATTAAAGTTATCACAATAGTCTGCATAGGAGATGAGTAAAACGTGGGCCTTGTGTAGCATAATCCATTTTCGCCATTGCAAATATTAATAATAAATATCTAAGATAAAAAAACTTATTAATAGATATTTTTTCATAAAAATTAAATCAAATTATTTATGCAAAACCAAATAAAGAAACTGATAATTGTAAAGTATTTCCTGCTACATGAAATTTTTCAATGCTAAAGGTAAGCATTGGATTGATTTGGTTTAAATCAAACCGAACTAATACAAGTCAAATGAACCAAATTTTTATATAAAGAAAATTAAACTAAATTGAATTATCTATAAAATAAAATTAAGTCGGTTAATTTTTACAAACACCAAATACATTCAATAATTTCTATACATGTAAATTACTTCTATGCCCTTTTTCCATTTTTTTTTTTTTCTTTCCGAGACAAACTCTATCTTATGTCTTAACATTTTGTAGACATGGCTTTATCAGCTTGATTCAGTTATATTGTCCTTAAATGACACTAAAAGAGCTTGTCTGAAAAAGCATAGCATAATTCCTCTCTTCGCTTACCCTTTTTAGCTATCAAAAGAATTTCATTTCATCAAAAAAAATCTTTTTTGCTAAATGCATAAATTCACAATTTATTTTTCATAAAAAATTTTGTGACATTATAGCGTAAATATTTTTTGCCCTTCTGCTTTTTAGAAATTGAGTTTGTGTTCTGATCCTTATGGAGATTGAAGTCGCTTATCATTTCAGTCAACACTTCATTGATAGTAAATATAATTTTTGAAACAATAATTCTCTATTATCTAATAACGAGATTGTTATAATTTGGGCAAAATTTTCTCCCCAAAACATGACTAACATGACATGGAAGTTGTAGTGGGTAAATAGATAGGAGATAATAAGCATGTGCAATCTAGAAATATAGATTATATATAAATAAATTATTATGTCCTTTTTCTTTGAAGCCAAACACTATAATATTATATCATTTTTCCTTCATTAATAACCAAACAAAAATGTACAATACATGCATTATCAATTTAGATTTTATTAAAGGGTCTTTCTGTGTAAGTCACAGAACAGAAGTTGGCCAATATTAATATTTTCTTTTTCAGTTTCCTTTCGTTTTCAATGCTTATTAATATATCCACCAGCTGTATTGATATGACCATACCTTTATGAACAAGCCACAATTTTTGTTTCAATTTTTTCTCATAAATGGTTAAAATCTGAAACAGTACTTCTCTGGGGATGACTTAACCTAACTATAGAAAGAGTTAAGTCTAAGTAGGGTGATAATTATGAGCTTGGCTGGAATTGGATAATTATGACCATACCTTTTTTTTTTTTTTTTAACCATTTGGAATTGGATAATTATGACCATAACCTTTTTTTTTTTTTTTTTAACCCATCCGGTCTTTTTTTTTTTTTTTTTAACCATCGGTATCCGGATGCTATTATCATATACGTCTAATCCTGCTCGGGGCTCGCGATTAAGACTCTTCGCCTCTCTTTAAAGGTGTTTTTAGTAAAAATTGAATCTGAGGGCTTTTTCTGCATATCCGGCTTGTGTTGTGTTGCTAAATGAGAAATCATTGGAAGTTTAATTAAATTTTTTGTTTACAGTACAAGAACAGTAATCAACCACAGATTTTTTGTGATGAAATGTGATTGGACTTGCACATTACATGTTAAATGGTAGCTTTGGAGGGAGAAAGGCCAGCAGAAAAAGAAGAATCAGAATCAGAATCAGTCCGTACCATAGCATACAATTAATAGCAGTAACTGTGTGCTATCGTAACCGCACAAGCATCCTTAAGGACCACACAAAAATATCGTTGAGGACCACTGTTGATAAAAACCTGAAGCCCATTTCTATTGGTATGTCCTGAGATTTTCAATGGCGCAGGATTAGCTTATAAAATCTCCACCGTAACTTGCTCTATGTGCCCATTTCATGAATTGAGATTTTTATCAATTAAATCCTTTATTTTAATTTAAAATCAATTAGGTACTTTCTAAATTCTTATATTAATTAGTTAATTGAATTTCAATGACTAAAATGAGATTTCTTGCTCTATTTGTATATACCCCTTTTGGGGAGTATTAGAGGAAGGGAAGAGAATAATGAAGGGCAATATTATACAAGGAGATGAAATATTAATGGAAGAAAGGCATGTTTTCCTTCCCCAAGGAGATGAAATATTAACGGAAGAAAGGCATGTTTTCCTTCCCTTATATAAAGCTTAGATGTGTTTTTTTTTTTGGAAGAAAGAATGTGGAAATTTCATTAAAAGGAAATACAATATAAACATGAAATACATATATGAATTAACAAGCTTCTATATTTTTACATAAGGAGTCTAATAACAAATCAATTATACAAAGAATACATACTTTTAGCTTGATTTGAGGGTTTCAATTGAATTGACAGAGTAATAAAATTATGCCACCGGTGGTAAGTATGCTCTATTTGGTGATTTATGGCTACTAGTCGATTTTATGATCTTTCAACAAATACAATATGATAACTTTCAAAGTTATTTTATCTACTGGAGAAGAGATCTGTATTTCGATCTATATTACTGTTTAAATAACGAAATGACGTACATAAAATCAATGTGAAAGCAAACTTAAAAAGAAAACTTAAAAAGTCTATCAAAACAGATAGATCTGAAAATAAATATTGAAAATCTATTAAAATTGGTAGATCTGAGGATATTTATTCAAAACCTGTATTAAAAGGACACATGTGTGAGGATTATTCAAAGAAAAATAAAACTAAAAAGAAAATGTCTGAAGGAGAGGGATTGACCATCTGTCTCAAATTAAAGAAGATGAAAGAAGTGCACCAGTGTAGGGAGGCTACGAGGAAAGCAAATTTTAATACAAGTGTGATAAATTTTGAATTTTAATACAAGTGTGATAAAATTTTATTAAGACTATGTTCGATTCACTCCAGAACTGAAAATAAATGCAATTCTTAAAATCTGATTCTTTTTTTTTTTTTTGTTTGGTTCACGAGAATTTTAATTTTGTTTATATTTCTATATGTAAATATCTCTAATTTATATTGAAATAATATATGTTTTAAATTTAGCTCTTCATATAATTAATTGATTTTATTTGATTATTTAAAAAATAAATTTACAATTAGATTTTTTGAATTCAAAACATCTACTTCCATTTCCATTTCAATTTTTTAAAGTCAAACAAATAATGAAATGTATTCATCAAAAAGTAGACTGCACGTTTGTCTGTTGGGCAATATTAATCGTTTTAGCATCTGTTAATTGTAGTAGCTGTTAACTGTTTATATAACAATTTAAATTAGAAGTGTAAAAGTAGCTGTGTAATTAGTTGTTTTGATTTAAAATGATAAAAAAAGTCATTTTAATTGTTTAATTAGCTGAATTTAGAGGAAAAATAATAATGAATATGATAAACGTTAAAAGCTAAATGTTAGAATATTTAACGTTTTATGAAATAATCTCTCTATAAGTTATTATAAAAGTTATGTTACCGAATGTTACAAATAAATTTTTGATTTGATTAAAACGTTAAAAGCTTTTACTAGTTTAAAAGTTGTTACCGAAAGTGATATTTTCAAACAAACGGTTAAATCACATTTTTAAGTGAATTTTACTTGCAATGCAATTTTAAAAGTTTAAAACACATAATGTGCTCATGTATTACCTAACAACTTCCATAATAAAAAAAAATATTGAAAGGTTGATAGTTGACACGCCTACACGTATTATAAAGTATTTGTACCAAAAAAAAATTTTAAATATTACCAATCTAGTTATGTGTGGTACGTTACGCGAAATATGCCATTTTAATATATTATTTTTAGAAATTTAAATAGCATTATATTAATTTAATATTTTTGTTCTTATCATTATATTCTAAAGTCATGAGATATAAATTTTAATTACTTGTATGCAGTAATAATGAATAAGCCTATAATAAGTTTATTGTATTACTAAAAAACTATTTTTTTTTCTACAAAAAAAACTCTTTTTTTTAAATTAATAATTTCAACAATAATTTGATTATATTAATGA